GCGCGGCAAGGACGTCGCTGCGGGCGACGCGAGAAGCAAAGCTCAAGCCACGGACGGCACACGCGGCTTTGTGCTTGCGACAAGCAGCGGAGCTGAAGCCACGGATGGCTCGCTCGGCCTGGTGCTTGCAACTAATGACACGAACAAGATAGGCCGAGGCGACTGGATCCTCGACAGCGGCGCGAGCCGACATTTGGTGAATGATGAGAAGCTTCTGCTTGACGCATCCGCTTGCAGTCATGAGATCGCCATGGCGGATGGGGAGTCGTTGCGACTGACGCGTGTTGGCAGCGTGCGCCTCGAGGTCCTCGCGCGCGGCGTAGCAACTATCGTGACGCTCACGGACGTTTATCTGGCACCGCGACTGGCGAAGAACATTGTGTCTTACGGGAAGCTCGAGAGCAAAGGATACGCACTCGCATACGACGGCGACAATCGGGCACTAGCTCGACGCATTGACGGCGTGGTCGCGTTCGACGTCGCGACCGACAGCAACGTTCTGTATGTACAGACGCCCGTGAAGTGCGGGGGGCACGGCGCTGGTGACGCGATCATTGCCGCACTCGAGGCAAATTCGGTAGACGCAAGCGCAGACGACGCGCACGAGGCATCGCTGCTGCATTGGCACCAGCGCCTCGGGCACCTCGCGTTCGACACGATAGTGCGCATGGCGCGCGATCCAGCCTCGGGCATCAAGCTCAGCAGCAACAAGCGCATGGCGTGCGTGTCGTGCCTCGAAGGGAAGCAGACGCGCAATGCGCAGGCACAGGTGGACAGCGGCGCCAACTCGCCTATCGATCGCATCGGTGGCGTCATCTGCTCGGACCTGAAGGGCCCGATGACGCCGCAGGATCGACTGCAGAACCGGTACCTGGTCAATTTCATTGACCACAAGTCAAACTACTGCCGCGTGTTCCTCGCGCGTACTAAGGACGCGGCGGCGAAGAAGTTTGAGGCGTTTCTCATACACTTCGAGCGGCTCTTCGGGTTCAAAATCCACGTCCTGAGGACAGATGGCGGGGGCGAGTACGCCAATATCGACCTATTCTGCCAGCGCACGGGTGTCGCGCGACAAGTTTCGGAGGCGCGCAACCAAGCGTCGAACGGGAAGGCGGAGAGGATGCACCGGACGGTGTTGAATCTCGCGCGCAGCATGATGTTCGCATGCGCGCTGCCGTTGCAATACTGGGGCGACGCCGTCCAATACGCCGTGTACATCCTGAACCGGAGCCCGACGCGCGCTAACGTGAAGCGATCGTCTCCGCTCGAGATGCTGACGGGCAAGGTGCCCGATCTACGCGGCACCGTCGTCTTCGGCTCACCGTGCAGCGTCTACCGCGACCCGCGCAAGAACTCGCTGCTGAAGCGATCGCAGCGCGGAATTATCGTCGGTGTGAGCGAAGAAACGAAGGGGTACAAGGTGCTACTGCCGCGCGAGAACAAGGTGGTCGTTACGCAGCACGTCAAGGACATCGAAACGTTGTCGGAGGCGCAGAACGCGCAGCTTCAGCGTGCGATGAACTCTTGCGACCGGGCTGGCGACGCGGACGAGGCCGATACGCCAGCGGCACCCGTCACGAATGGTGGCAGTGCAGGAGGCGGCGATACGGCTCGTAAGAAGAGTCGAAGAACGTGGACGCGATCGGCGCACGGAACACGCGGCGCGTCGAAGCGCGCTGAAGCGGCAGCTCGACAGGAGGAGACAGTTGCGAGCGGAGAGGTGGTGAGCGCGGCTTTCGAGCGCGACCCGACCAGTTACGGGGAGGCGATGCGCGGAGGAAGGCGTGACGGCTGGGTGAAGGCCATGGAAGAAGAAATCGCGGCGCTTCAGAGCAACGACGTGTGGACGATCGTCAAGCGACCGCCAGGGACGCACGCGCTGCACACGAAGTGGGTCTACAAGACGAAGACTGATGCGCAGGGCGACCTCGAGCGACTGAAGGCGCGTCTGGTCGCGTGCGGCAACGAGCAGGTGCTCGGCGTCGATTATACGCTCACCTTTGCCGCAGTGATGGATCTATCGACGGTCAAGGTGATCCTGGCACTCGCGGCCACGTGGGGGGTGCCTGCCAAGCACGGCGACATCCCAAACGCATACGTGAAGGCGGAGAAGGAGGCGAACCTGCGCATCTTCCTCCAGATGCCACGCGGGATGCAGGTCTCGGAGGAGACGATGCGTGCGCACGGGGCCACGAATACGAGCGAGCTCGTGCTTGAGCTCCGCAAGAGCCTATACGGCCTCAAGCAGGCAGGCAGACTGTGGAGCCAGCTGTTGCACACCAAGCTGGTCGATGCCGGTTTCGTACGCTGTGAGAGCGACATGTGTTTCTACTGGAAGCGTGATGTTGCGGACCTCGTTGTCGTCGGCGTGTATGTCGACGATCTCCTTGCGACAGGAACGAGCGCTGCGGCAGTGGACAGGTTCTTCGACAGCCTCGCGTCGCTTTCGATAAAGGACTTAGGACAAGTTAACAAGTTTCTGGGCATGCGCGTGCAGCTCGACGGCGAGGGCGGGTACAAACTCGACCAGGAAGAGGCGATTGGCAACCTCGTGAGCGACAACGGACTCGCCAATGCCAACCCGACACGAACGCCAATCGGCGACGACTGCTACGAGGTCGAAGCGGGGGATGCGGAGCTCTTGGGGACCAAGAACGCAAAGACAGGAGCGACGGTGCGGGACTTTCAGTCGCTGGTCGGCTCTCTGCTGTGGGTTGCGCGATGCACGCGCCCGGACATCGCCTTCGCGGTTCACAAGGCGACGCGTCAGACACACGCGCCTCGTGTGTATGACTGGAAGCTGGCGAAACGCGTCGCGCGTTACCTCAAGGGTACGGCGGGACTCAAGATCTCCATGAAGCCCGAGCGTAACGGCAACGCGACGATGCGGCTCGAGGCGTTCAGTGACGCCGACTTCGCTGCCGATAAATCGGACAGGAAGTCGATGACTGGCGGCGTGGTGCGCCTGAACGGCATGGCCGTGAGCTGGAGCGCACGGAAGCAGGGAGGCGTCGCGCTGTCGACAATGGAGGCCGAGTTCGTCGCGGCAAGCGAGGTCGCGCGCGAGGTGCTCGGATTGCGCGAGATGTTGCGCGAAATTGGACTCGAGCCGGCACTCCCGATGCAGCTGCACGTTGACAACCAAGCGGCGATCAGCCAGATCGCCGGCGAGGCGTCGTCACTGAAGGCAAAGCACGTGGACGTGCGGCTCAAATTTCTCTGTGACTTCGCACGTCGCGGTGTCGTCGTGGCGAGCTACGTTCGATCGGAGCAGATGCTGGCGGACCTCATGACGAAGGCGCTGGATGCGATGAAGCTGGGAACATTGCGTCAGCTCATGTGCATCGGCTAAGGAAAGATCAAGGACGATTATGGGTGTTCAAGGAGCTCAATGAAAGAAGGAAGAGACGAAAACGAAAACGCACTCGAGGAGGAGTGTAGGAAAGCGAGGGACTTGTTATCTTGGTGGAGTGGAGATTCGGCGCGATGTGTCGATTAGCGTCATTCGTTTAGATAGGAAGGCAGAGCGGCTGCGTGGCAAAATGGGTGGTGTGGATGGCTTTGGGAAAGTGTCAGGTAGAAGAGAAGACATAAAATGTGAATACAGAATCCAATTGTCCATCCACTGAATAAGCATATCACCCTACATGACTGACTACCGGTACGATTGTAGCCACACTACGATTGTAGCCACACTATGCGATAGTAGATACGGCCGAAGTTGTGGTGTACATCATGTGGCGGCCGAGAACATTGATATTAAGAATCAGTAATGAAGCAAATGCCGAGCGACTTCACATAGAGTAATATCAAAGATCATTACCGTTCACTACAGCAATGCAAGTAGATTCTGATGAAGTTTATTGCTCTCGATGGAGCATTCGTCCATTCTAAATATTAGTGAAGGATAGCAAGACAATGTCACCCGATAGCCAGTATGCTTCGGACAAGTTTTTATACAAGATCAAAAATTTAACACACTTACTGCATGTTTGGCTTCAATTGTCAGAAAGTGTTACTTTGAATACATGCAGAACGATGTTCAACGATTGGAATGGAAATGATTTTGTAATATGTATGAAAACACTGCAAGATTCGATTTTATCGAGAGAGATATTGGCAAATGGCGTCAAGTCTAAAGAGCGTAGACGAGCGTCAGAGCCGTTTTTCGCTCTACACTTTGCCATTGATGATGGTCTCAGTACGTAGAGTTGCAATCTCGGAATACAACATAATAGAGGGCGACATGAAAATGGAATCGTCGGTCGCAGTCGATCACTTCATCACGATATGTAAGAGCAATCTTGGTAGTGACAGAGTTCATTTGCTGCTGGTCACCATATTGGCCGCGTACCTGAATGCGACTGATTCGAGTCGACCAACAAGTGAGGTCCAGCTTTCATCCCGCGCATCGATAAACCAACTACATAAGTCGAGCTACATATACCGCATTGTTAAGCAATGCGCCGAGCGTCAAGTGCTGCATTTGTAAGCGATTGTCGACTCGCAAACAACACGGTCATACGGATGTGTGTTCACTCGTTTTTTTTCATCAGGTGCCTTACAGTGACTGTGCCGATAATACAAGTTGACTCGTCGTGCAAAGACATACGTTGTGGTTACGCGAATTCGCGTCGACAAGCCAAGACACCTTCATCAAAATACCAAGTACGTACATATCTGCATTCCTACTGCATTGTCGAAGGTGAGGTAGAAAAAGTACCTTTCTGCAATCACAGGACTTTGAAATGTCGCCATAGCGCTGGACTCGTCAAGTTTTTAGACAAAATATACACGAAACAAAGACGCAAAAGCCGCTCTTTTGTCACCCACCCAGCAAAAAGTGTTTTAAACATAAACACGCTTTTACCTCCATCGCCCCATGACCATCACTCCACGTTGAAGTGCCACCAGTCCGCACCACTGCGCGCATTGCGCAATTTGCCTCGCGCGCGCTCCCAGACTCGAGTCAAGTCCAAGTGACGCGCGTAAGCCCACCAATGAACTGGATGACGGGCGGCAAACACCGCGCGCTGTACTCGCAGCGCGGCCGACGTCGCCAGATGCACTTCCCCGCGCTCGTCCAGCGCCAGCGCGTCCCGCCCTCGAGTCCGTCTCGCAGCGCTCCGTCAGCCGCCGCCGCCGCCGTCGCCGCTACCGCACGTGCGTCGGCCACGCCCTGGTACATTGTGCAAGTGGGAGACGACAGCGAGTCGCAAGGTCCGACATACGCATCGATAGACAGAACTGCACATGTATTTGTGTGCGTGTACCCATGTCGTCCCCTGCCTCGTCTGCTGCGGTTGCGATGGCGGCTGACTGCACTTGTGCCAACGTGCAGATGTTCGTGTGCTGGCGCTCGAGCGGCAGCGGGCCGCGACTTCCCACGACGTCGTCCCGACGCGAGCGCAGACGGGGCGAACGGATGCGGCCACGAGCGACAAAACAGCTGCCAGCCAACGTCCACGATCGAGTCCGCGCCGTGAGACGAGTGCGGGCCACGACGCACGGGACGGCCGAGACAAAAGACGCGGGGGTAGGTGCATCTTCACGCCCGTCAAGAAGGCGCGACGAGGCGACCAGACGTTCGAAGCGGTCCCGCGACTGCCCCATGTCCGTGGCGAACGACCGCTGGCGTCACTTGTCTCTGGCAGTGACTCGGGCGCTCTCAAGTACGTGGACGGCGCAGAGACGTGGCGACTGCGGTTGATTGGACTCATGACAGACGCGCGTTTCCTGCACTTGTGACTGGTATGGTACAGTGACAGTCAAGAGCGTCGACACGAGAGGACGGCGCAAGGCACCGAGCGAGAACCGGCGGATCGGTTTCCATTTGACACACGTGATAGTCGTCACTCCCTACAGCACATGAGTCGAGACGATACCCGAAACGTGCGGCAGGTACTCTCTTGTCGGAGCATCTGGAACTGGTGCTCATGTGAAGCTGCTGCTCTATACGCAGCTTATCCAGCCACGTCGCCAAGACAGGATGGACGAAGACCTCGACAGAGAAGCCTTTGACTGCCGAATGCCTGAGGCGCAGCCGCAATCGTTCGACGCCATCTATGACCAGCAACAAGCACTTTTTGACGGCGCTAGTGAGGTGGACCAGCGATGCTTCCAGCGTAGACGACTCGAATCCGCTCTCAGTGCCGACTCCAGTCCAGACTCGGTGAGCACTTTCGCAAATCGCGTCGTGGTATCGACTGACTTCGCAAATGTGGTCGTCTTCCGTTCCAGCCATTTGACCGACCGGATAGCCATTCGTTCCGACTCTCGTGCCATCCGTAAGACGCCCAGCAACCTGTTCATGAACAAACAAGCTAAATCTAACACTTTTTGCGTGCTGGGACTAGTCGTGACATATTGCCACCATCAAGTCCACTCAAAGCCTCGCCGTTGTCGTTCGGAATGAGCCGAGCCGAAGGTTTGTACTCGCTGCCGCTAGAGCAACGCTGTATGACTTGCTCACCTTTCTCTCTCCAGTCCTGCAGTCCCAGCTCTCGACCAAAGATCGCACAATTGTATGTTCGTATGACCCACGCATGGACCACCCTTCTCAAACGTTTCATTCGACTAGATCCACGGTCCACAGCTTGCCCGGATGAGCTTCACACAAAGCCGGTGTCCATCGCCATCGCCGTCCCCGTCAACTTCAACGTCGTCGCAGGGCAGCATTGTGCTTGGCCGTCCTCCTCTTGGCTGGCAAAAGAAGGTGTTGATGTCGATGAACGACGAACCGATCTCACAACCCGAAGATCGTTTCGAAAACCTTGTGTCGGTTCCAGAGCACATGAGATCGTTGTCTCCTGCGACTCACGCTGTTAACGGTAACTCGGACCGTGGTGATTGATTGCCGTGACAAGTTTTGTCCTTGAGCTCAGCTTGTGTATCGGCCTGCTAACGCGTCTGTCCTTGCTGCCCCTGTTACAGACTGTCTGCAGCGATCTCCGCTCATCTCATCGCCTTCACCGAGAAGTACGACGGGAAGCGACAGTGAAAGCTTGATCCTCAACACAGTCGTCCCGACCGATGCGAGAGAACGCATAATGGCGGCTACTGCTTCGCAGCAATATCCTCCAGACTCAAGAATGTGGTGCCAACGACCAGCCACAACGGGTACGACAACTACTGCAGTGAGCTTGTGCATCGCTAACATTCCAAACACACGTCATGCTGCTAGAGTTCCGCGGCGTGAGCGACTCGGACATACGCAGTTCGGGCGAAAACACCTCCATGGCACTACACCAGTCATGGGTCATGTCGTCGCGCACAAAGACCATCCTGAATGCGGCCTCGTCGTCGTCGTCCAAGGCTCTGGCTACGCAAGACGCAGCCGAAATGCGCAAGACCGAGCACCAACAAATGGAAAGCGTCGCAGTTTACATGTACACGCTGGTGCAGTGCTACAAGGTCGACGAGAGTCTACGGTTTGTGCACACACACCCGCTCATGGCCACTGCATATCTCAGAACATCCTTCGTACTCATCCTGTTGCGATGTCGATGCGGACAGATGCCGTGCATCACTAGCTGAGCACGCCCAACCAGTGTCGCCAGTGTCTCAAGCATCTTCTTCACCATCTACCAACGCTGCGTTACCAACGTCAAAAGCCTGTCGACGAGAAATCACCTTCTCGCCCAAGCACGCGAGATCACGAACACAGGTTGAATGAACGTCCCAGCACTACGCCGTTTCCGAGTACATCCCAGACAGCGCTTTCTTGTTCACTTTTCCCATGGCATTTTTAGGAATTTCGTCGACAAACAAGTATTTGCGCGGCACGCGGTAGCTTGCAAGGTGCTCTTTCAGGAACTCCACAAGCGGCGGAGACAATGCGTCTGGACCAACACTCTTACCATGGACTCTCGAGCGTATGATGGCGGCTACAAGCTGCCCCCACGTTTCGTCAGGCAGGCCGAAAACAGCGCACTCGAGTACCTGTGGATGTGTCAACAGCACGCGCTCGACGTCCAGAGCTGACACCTTGTAGCCCGCGGTCTTGAGGATGTCGGCGCTTGCACGTCCGCGGATACGAAAGCTGTTGTAGTCGTTGCTGTACTGGACGATATCGCCAGTCTTGAACCACCCGTCAGCATCAAATTCCTTAGCAGTAGCCTCAGGCTTCTTCCAGTACTCGTGACAGACCGACGGACCCTTTACACGGAGCTCGCCTTCCTTCTCGTCGCTCAAAAGTACTTCAGTCTCTGTGTCGGGATCCACCACCCGTACTGAAACACTTGGAAAGGTGTTACCGACGTAGCCGACGTGACGGTCTCCATGCAGCGGATTGGTAAGCACCATGCCCAGTTCGGTCATTCCGTACCGTTCGAGAAGACGCTGTCCTGTCAGCTTTTCCCAGCGGCCCAAAATCGATAGAGGACAAGCCATGGATCCACTGATCGCTACGCGCAATGCCCGAGCACCTGCAAGTGCGTCTCGCGTCGTCGGATCGTCGACGTGCCGGCTTTCCATCTCTTCCAGCAGCTTCATGTATACTGTAGGCACTGCCATGAGCATCGAAACTGGACGCTTCATCGTTGCCGCGCCTGCTAGTCGAGACCAAATGAGCGACGGCGCTGCCGACGGCAAGAATTCCACCGATCCACCAGTGTACATGACACACAACAGATTGTTGAGAATGCCGTGGACATGGTGCAGTGGTAAAAAGTGGAGCAGATGGTCGGTGCTTGCCATTTCCCACGCTGTTACGACGTCACTGAGCTGTGCTGTCAGCGCGCGATGAGTAGTCACTACGCCTTTCGGTCGTCCAGTAGTGCCACTTGTGTAGACGATGTACGCTCCACTACTTTTGTAGTCAGTGGTCTCCAGCCATTGCTCCACTTGTTTGCTCTCTGCCCTCGACAACGCCTCTGCGTCCTCCTCGTCGCTCTTGACATCGTCGGGACGTGTCACCACTTGTATCTTCCTTCTTGTCGAGAGTCCTGCTATATACGCGTTCAGTTTTGTATCCATTTGTAAAACTGACTCGTTCACCACGATCATCTCGGCACTGGCGTCGGTAATTGTATAGTCCATCTCTTCTGCTGGATGGGCTGGATGCAACGGCACGGCAGTGCCTCCTGCAAGCCAAATCGCCCATTGAATGATCAAATAGGACGGACCTCGAGCTCCGAGAACGGCGACGCGAAAGGGCTTTTGGTCGGTCGCTAATCGACTCAAGAGCTCGTCACGCAGCGCGAGTGCCCGACGTAGCAACGACGCATAGGTCCACTCGATAGCGTCGGCCGTGTCGTTCGTGCGGGTAATGACCGCTACCGAGCGCTGGTGCTCAAGCAGCTTTGCAAACAAGTGCGGGGCGACGAGGCCGTGCGCTTGAGAGCTTTTCGCCATGGCAGAAATGGGTTCACACGAGCGCCGGCTTGACAACGACAAGCCGTGAAGTAAGTGAAGTGGCAGAAATGCACGGATCCGTGATGCCCGAGAAGTGGAACAATATGGTCATTGTCTCGAGGGGAACATGTCGACGCGAGACTTTTGCCGTTCGTAATTCTGAGAGACGTCGTTTGTGATATTTCGATAACGTACGACTTCGAAGCGGACAGAGCTGCGCCGTCATCGCGTGTGTGCATGAGGAACTGTCGCATCGTATCGCGTTATGCGTTTGCGAAAACGTCTTTGGAGTACATTGCAGATCAACATTCGGCGATTGCGTACCCCTTTGATCACTTCTTGATCGGTTTTAGGACAAAATATGGGGATTTTTCGCACGACGGGTTTGCCTGGCAGGTGCCAGGACTTTAGGTCGTCAACGTCTGTTGACCGCCAAAAGATCCCGCTGCACTTGCATCGTAGCCTTTGGCATGTTGTAGCAATCATTATGGTGTCATGCGACTGCTTGCTCGTTGACGTACTGACTGCATGAGACTTGTTGGGTAAGCACCCAGCAACTTTACCCACAATCGACACTCCTTGGTGTCGATCTTCTGTACAGTAGCACTACCTGTGCGAAGCTCAGCTACTTTCTTGGCTTCTTTCGTTCGTTGACGTCGAAGACGACACTGCATACAAGTGTTCTCTTACCAACTTGAGTGCCACATCGAGTTGTGGCGATGCCTGAAAAGACAAGACGACACGGCTACCACGTTTTATTCTTCGACGGAATCGAAGCCATTGTCTCCGTGACGTGCTAGAGCGTCTCTTCGAGATAGAGCGACAAAGAGAGAGAAGGACCTGCCCGATGAAGTGTCGCTAACGAAAGCGTGAGGCAATCAACTTGCGCTTGCAACGTATGAGTGTACTGCTTACACTTTGCCTCAGCCAGCGAAGCAAACGGGTGTCCGACGCTGTGCCGAATAATGTTAGTCAATGCCAGGTCCATTTTGCCAAAACATGGCTGCCATCAGATACCGCTTCGACGACATATCTTGCCGTGCTGCAAGCAGTGCAACCCGAGGGAACGACAGTTGGTGCTTGCACACTGTCAGGTGCCATTGTTAGGGCCAACCGTTGGGAGCATTTCACCGCTTCACAGGTCGAGGTTTTGAGTTTGAGTGGAGGAACAAGAAGAAACGAGAGCGCTTTGGTGAGTCTGCAGCAGGTCTCGTAGCTTGGGTACGACCAAAAGAGGCACAACGTGACCAGACCTTGCAGGACGAACCCGTTGGCAGACTACGAAGCGCACTTCGATCGAGACGATTGCAGCTAATATAGCTTTAGCCTCTGTTTGCAACGTGCCTCATGTAAACACCAGAGCTATTGATGAGGTACACTACTACATGTCGTGTCTGCCATCTACAGCGCACCACGTTCGCGTCCGAGAGTAGTGACAGCTTCTTCAGCTACACACAGGACCCATTCTGCACACCACTGACCTCAATGTGCTCGAAGGAGCGGGAAACCCAACGGCGGGTGATGTGATGTGTACCATCCGCCACCTAATTCCAAACTATCCGACCAAAACGACAGCCAACCCGTGATCCGAAGAAATGGGCGACTGGTTGCTAGCGGTGCACGCTGGAGCTGGAAAATATGGTGACTCCGCCACGGAACCTGCGTACCTCTCGTTGCTTCGAGCAGCGCTTGAGAGTGCGCACGATCGCATTCTTGCAGACGCCCGAAGGCCGCCTTCTGCCGCGCAAATAGCTGTCCATTTGCTGCGCGCGTTCGAGCACAGCAGCTTCACAAACGCCGGACGTGGTGCGAATTTGACGGAACACGGGCAAGTCGAGTGCGAAGCGAGTGTTGTGTGTGGTCGAACGGGATCGGTCGCGTGTTGCGGAGCCGTGCGGGGCGTGCGAGAGCCGAGTGCGCTGGCGCTGAAGTTACTGGAGCAAGCAGAGCGCGCAGGCGACCGCGACGTGAAGAGGAAGTTCGCGTGTGGTCGACAGCCGCCGCTGGTGCTTGTGGGCGAACACACTCGACAAGTGGCTCGCGACTTTGGTCTTGAGACAGCAACGGACGATGCCGAAGCACTAAAGACGTACCACGTGACGCCAAAGTCTCGAGCACATTGGGCCAAGTGGCACGAGCGATTCCAAGCGGCAACGGCGCGCAAAGCTGAAGCAACGACGAAGACGAGAGGCGACAATGAGGACGTTGAGCACTTGGATACGGTCGGATCAGTCTGTATGGACTCGATGGGGAACGTAGCAGCGGCATTGTCAAGTGGTGGGGTGCTGTACAAAGTCCCCGGGCGTCTGGGGCTTGCAGGATGTCCCCGCATGGGCTGCGATGCTGCGAACGCTCGTGGGACACAGACCACAAGTCGCAAGCGAAAGCGAAGAGAGCGTAGGAACGTGGCAAATGCTTTTGCTGTGGCGTGTACGGGTCGAGGCGAGCAGTTCATGCAGCATCGTGTCGTGAGCGGCTTCCGTCGACGATTGTCCAAGTCGGCGAATCTCGAGAAAGCGTTGCGAAAGGCGTTTGTTGACTCGAAGAGGTGCGGCGACGCTCGTGAAGGGATCGAAGGTGGAGTGCTGGCTCTTGTGTCACTGCCGCGTGAGAACGACGACGACACAGCACGTCGAGTCCAACTCGGTGCAGCATTCACGACGCCCTGTATGGGTGTGGGCTACTTGCAGTGTCGGGCCAATGCAAAGCCAGAAGCTCGAGTGCAGCTTTTGCGCCGGCCAGAGGTCTCTGCCCGACACCCTGCAACAAAGAGCACACACACGGAAGTAGCTGTTCATGTGTCGTTGTTCGACCTGGTGCAACGACCTAAGGCACATGACGTCGAGTAGTCGCCAATGTGGACGTACTGCGATTTCCAGGTCAACTTTGGGCATACTGCCTTCGTCACCACTTCCTTTCTGTAGCCTGGGATTGCAGCCAAGAAGTTTGATGCTGACGGGTGGTTCCAGACTGGCGATATCGTCCAGTACAGCAACGACTACAACAGCTTTCGTATCCGCGGACGTGCAAGCGCCGACATCCTCAAGACCGCGGGCTACAAGGTGTCAGCTCTGGACGTCGAGCGCGTGCTGTTGACGCATCCACAGGTACTCGAGTGCGCTGTTTTCGGCCTGCCTGACGAAACGTGGGGGCAGCTTGTAGCCGCCATCATACGCTCGAGAGTCCATGGTAAGAGTGTTGGTCCAGACGCATTGTCTCCGCCGCTTGTGGAGTTCCTGAAAGAGCACCTTGCAAGCTACCGCGTGCCGCGCAAGTACTTGTTTGTCGACGAAATTCCTAAAAATGCCATGGGAAAAGTGAACAAGAAAGCGCTGTCTGGGATGTACTCGGAAACGGCGTAGTGCTGGGACGTTCATTCAACCTGTGTTCGTGATCTCGCGTGCTTGGGCGAGAAGGTGATTTCTCGTCGACAGGCTTTTGACGTTGGTAACGCAGCGTTGGTAGATGGTGAAGAAGATGCTTGAGACACTGGCGACACTGGTTGGGCGTGCTCAGCTAGTGATGCACGGCATCTGTCCGCATCGACATCGCAACAGGATGAGTACGAAGGATGTTCTGAGATATGCAGTGGCCATGAGCGGGTGTGTGTGCACAAACCGTAGACTCTCGTCGACCTTGTAGCACTGCACCAGCGTGTACATGTAAACTGCGACGCTTTCCATTTGTTGGTGCTCGGTCTTGCGCATTTCGGCTGCGTCTTGCGTAGCCAGAGCCTTGGACGACGACGGCGAGACCGCATTCAGGATGGTCTTTGTGCGCGACGACATGACCCATGACTGGTGTAGTGCCATGGAGGTGTTTTCGCCCGAACTGCGTATGTCCGAGTCGCTCACGCCGCGGAACTCTAGCAGCATGACGTGTGTTTGGAATGTTAGCGATGCACAAGCTCACTGCAGTAGTTGTCGTACCCGTTGTGGCTGGTCGTTGGCACCACATTCTTGAGCCTGGAGGATATTGCTGCGAAGCAGTGGCCGCCATTATGCGTTCTCTCGCATCGGTCGGGACGACTGTGTTGAGGATCGAGCTTTCACTGTCGCTTCCTGCCGTACTTTTCGGTGAAGGCGATGAGATGAGCGGAGATCGTTGCAGACAATCTGTAACAGGGGCAGCAAGGACAGACGCGTTAGCAGGCCGATACACAAGCTGAGCTCAAGGACAAAACTTGTCACGGCAATCAATCACCACGGTCCGAGTTACCGTTAACAGCGTGAGTCGCAGGAGACAACGATCTCATGTGCTCTGGAACCGACACAAGGTTTTCGAAACGATCTTCGGGTTGTGAGATCGGTTCGTCGTTCATCGACATCAACACCTTCTTTTGCCAGCCAAGAGGAGGACGGCCAAGCGCAATGCTGCCCTGCGACGACGTTGAAGTCGACGGGGACGGCGATGGCGATGGACACCGGCTTTGTGTGAAGCTCATCCGGGCATGCTGTGGACCGTGGATCTAGTCGAATGAAACGTTTGAGAAGGGTGGTCCATGCGTGGGTCATACGAACATACAATTGTGCGATCTTTGGTCGAGAGCTGGGACTGCGGGACTGGAGAGAGAAAGGTGAGCAAGTCATACAGCGTGACTCTAGCAGCAGCGAGTACAAACCTTCGGCTCGGCTCATTCCGAACGACAACGGCGAGGCTTTGAGTGGACTTGATGGTGGCAATATGTCACGACTAGTCCCAGCACGCAGAAAGTGTTAGATTTAGCTTGTTTGTTCATGAACAGGTTGTTGGGCGTCTTACGGATGGCACGAGAGTCGGAACGAATGGCTATCCGGTCGGTCAAATGGCTGGAACGGAAGACGACCACATTTGCGAAGTCAGTCGATACCACGACGCGATTTGCGAAAGTGCTCACCGAGTCTGGACTGGAGTCGGCACTGAGAGCGGATTCGAGTCGTCTACGCTGGAAGCATCGCTGGTCCACCTCACTAGCGCCGTCAAAAAGTGCTTGTTGCTGGTCATAGATGGCGTCGAACGATTGCGGCTGCGCCTCAGGCATTCGGCAGTCAAAGGCTTCTCTGTCGAGGTCTTCGTCCATCCTGTCTTGGCGACGTGGCTGGATAAGCTGCGTATAGAGCAGCAGCTTCACATGAGCACCAGTTCCAGATGCTCCGACAAGAGAGTACCTGCCGCACGTTTCGGGTATCGTCTCGACTCATGTGCTGTAGGGAGTGACGACTATCACGTGTGTCAAATGGAAACCGATCCGCCGGTTCTCGCTCGGTGCCTTGCGCCGTCCTCTCGTGTCGACGCTCTTGACTGTCACTGTACCATACCAGTCACAAGTGCAGGAAACGCGCGTCTGTCATGAGTCCAATCAACCGCAGTCGCCACGTCTCTGCGCCGTCCACGTACTTGAGAGCGCCCGAGTCACTGCCAGAGACAAGTGACGCCAGCGGTCGTTCGCCACGGACATGGGGCAGTCGCGGGACCGCTTCGAACGTCTGGTCGCCTCGTCGCGCCTTCTTGACGGGCGTGAAGATGCACCTACCCCCGCGTCTTTTGTCTCGGCCGTCCCGTGCGTCGTGGCCCGCACTCGTCTCACGGCGCGGACTCGATCGTGGACGATGGCTGGCAGCTGTTTTGTCGCTCGTGGCCGGCCACATCCGTTCGCCCCGTCTGCGCTCGCGTCGGGACGACGTCGTGGGAAGTCGCGGTCCGCTGCCGCTCGAGCGCCAGCACACGGACATCTGCACGTTGGCACAAGTGCAGTCAGCCGCCATCGCAACCGCAGCAGACGAGGCAGGGGACGACATGGGTACACGCACACAAATACATGTGCAGTTCTGTCTATCGATGCGCATGTCGGACCTTGCGACTCGCTGTCGTCTCCCACTTGCACAATGTACCAGGGCGTGGCCGACGCACGTGCGGTAGCGGCGACGGCGGCGGCGGCGGCTGACGGAGCGCTGCGAGACGGACTCGAGGGCGGGACGCGCTGGCGCTGGACGAGCGCGGGGAAGTGCATCTGGCGACGTCGGCCGCGCTGCGAGTACAGCGCGCGGTGTTTGCCGCCCGTCATCCAGTTCATTGGTGGGCTTACGCGCGTCACTTGGACTTGACTCGAGTCTGGGAGCGCGCGCGAGGCAAATTGCGCAATGCGCGCAGTGGTGCGGACTGGTGGCACTTCAACGTGGAGTGATGGTCATAGGGCGATGGAGGTAAAAGCGTGTTTATGTTTTAACCACTTGTATTAATCTTTCGGTTCGAGAAGCAGTGCGTTTTAGGTGTTCTAAATTGAAAGGTTGGCAGGGTATTCTAGACATATTCATAATGTCGTAGCTGAATTCTGCGAACGCGATAGTCGCTGCACCACGCGCATGCGCTCGATATTGTATTGTTGACTGATTGTAGCAGTGAGTCATTGTCGCGTTATTCATAATCCTCGAACTACCTTCGACCGTGAATATTACCTGGCGTTTTAGCCAGACGGGTGCAGCATTCGCGCGCTTCTCGTGTATTGACTTTTATGATGCTCGCGTTCACTATCGTTTACACGAGCGGATCGCTAGTTCAATGCTGGAATCGAAAAGCAGCGAGACAAAACCTGTCGCTCCAAATTGCGAAATGTCGGTCGAAACTTTGCGTCGAAAGTGAAGGAGCAAGCTGTCCTACCTGCCTTTTTTTGCATCCGGAAGGGTACACAAGGGGCGGACAGACAGTACGTAATCAGTCCCGCCAGTCAGTACATTTCACCGCTGGAAGCATCTTCGATCGACCATTCCTACTTTTAAATCAGTAGACTCATCTATGCGACACGTGAACAAGGCCTCGAGTGCACTCATCCCATATCTACTACGCTCGGGTTCGCTGCATCAGGACAAGAGACCGTACTATGCAGAATCCATCCTACGCACTACGTCCCCACACGTACTGAGCGATAGCACTTCCCCACTACACCATCGCTCAGGCCATAGAACAATACACATCGACGGTCTTTGTCCACCAGCCAGAGATACCCCGTGCTCGGCCCCTCCTCCTCGACACTATTCTCGAATTTGCACCACGACCCGCACGTTCAATCGCCGCTCGCTTCGTCTCTTCTCCCCCTTTCTCTCTCTCTCTCTCTCTCTCTCTCTCTCTTCTCAACGCAATGGTGCTCAAGATCCGCCACGACGCGCCCCACTTCACTGCCGAAGCCGTTGTCAATGGCGAGTTCCAAACCGTGTCGCTCTCGGACTACAAGGGCAAGTACGTCGTGCTTTTCTTCTACCCCATGGACTTTACGTTCGTGTGCCCGACCGAGATCATCGCCTTTAGCGAGAAGGCCGCAGCGTTCCGTGAACTCGGGTGCGAGGTCTTGGGCTGCAGCGTCGACTCCAAGTTCTCGCACTTGGCGTGGACCAACACGCCGCGGAAACAGGGCGGCCTGGGCGCGCTCGAGATCCCGTTGCTGGCCGACTTTAACAAGGAGATCGCCACGGCCTACGACGTGCTCATTGACGCCGGCGACGACATTGGCGCGACGTTCCGCGGCCTCTTTATCATTGACCGCGAGGGCAAACTGCGCCAAAGTACGGTCAACGACTGCCCCGTGGGGCGCAACGTCGACGAGATTTTGCGGCTCGTGGAGGCGTTTCAGTTCACGGACGAGCACGGCGAAGTGTGCCCTGCGAACTGGAAGAAGGGCGGCAAGACGATCAAGCCGTCGGTGGCCGAGTCGAAGGAGTACTTTGCCGCTGCGCACTAGAGCCGTGGAGGTACTACGGGGTGGTGGTGAGCCCGGGGACCTGTTCTCGGACAGGTGGTGTGAGGAGCTACGAGTGTGTGCCGAAAGATATCAACAATGACGCTGAAGCGCTATCTTAGCGGACTTTACCCATTGACTTCTTTCCGTTACTTCAGAGCTGCAGACACCTTGTGCTGTCTATTGTCAGGACAGAGTGGCTGTGTTGGTCGGTGCATACTGTACCGGCGGCTCTGCACGTACTGATTTTTGTTGCACAGGGTCTGTCGCCTTCGGTCGGTGCTGTGCTACGAGAGTGACTGGGGTCAACACGCAGACGACCACACGAACGTGTTCTGCCGAGGAGCAATAGCGACATGTACGAAGGCACACTCCGCCGCTGCAGGTCATTGATTCATATACGGACTGGTTCTATCTCGTCCTGGAGAAGTCTGGCGAGGCGGTCGGTCGTGCGCCTGTGCGCTTTGAATCGGACGCGCGACTGCTTCCCAGCATCGGCACAACGCCCTGACCTCGGAGCTCAATCATGGGGCAGTCAAACATCTTTACGCAGCTCGACTTGGCCTGTGAGGACAAAGCTGTGTCCTGACTCACTCGACTGCTGGCGCTCATGCTCGGCGTTGACGACGATCCAGAGACTGACGAGTACATTGACATCTTGTCGTCTCCGTGTCCGTCAAACGACTCGTAGACCGCCGCAGCAGGCTGCTTCCTCTGGCTGCAAGGGCCGCGGTAGGCATTAGCCTGCGCGTGTCGTTGCGTTGGCCTGTAGCCACTGCTGTTGCTCTCACTGCCGCCGCTCCAGTCCCCCTCTTCCGTCTCGTCGAACGTCCTCGTGACCGTGAGCTCAGGTTTGCACGCCACCGAGTGCTCCATCGACGAACTGTCGAGGAACTTGCACAGCACTTGGAACCAACGCGCCCATTCCCGAGGCACGAGAGCTCGAAGTTCCTCGCGTCGGGGCGCACCTTCCGAGTCGACGCCGATGATGTGGAACGAGTCGTTCTTGTCCGTGAGCGTCACGCGCAGGACCTGGTACCGCTGCTCGAGTCGACCGTTCACTGTGTCTTCGCTCGCATAAAGGCACAAGCTGTCGTCGCTCTTGAAGAGACAGTAGAACGGTTTCCACCGCTTGAGCACCAGTCCTTTGCGCTTCTCGAGCCAGCCACACTGAACCACAGCAGTCACCTCCTTCTTCTTTGCCAGTGGGAACCCCGACGAGGCCGCCGTAGAGCTCAGGTGAAAAGTGCCGCGATACACACAGTCCAAAGGTGGCGGACGCGCAGCGACACTTGTCCGTCGCAGCGCTTTCTTGTCGAACGAGTGGGGTCGCTGGCGGTCGAACTCTTTGCTCGCGCTAATTGTCCGTGCACTGCCCATGCTGCAGCTCAGGGGATTGAGCTTTGCCCTGTCGTCGTTGTAATACGACAGACTGTAGTCAACGTGGCGATTGTTTTTCTTCATAGCAGCAGTAGCAGTTGCAGTACTTGCAGTAGTAGTAGTAGTAGTAGTAGTAGTAGCAGTAGTGAACGGGTCAATATGATCGACAGTGCTGTATCGCGACCCACGAGAGCCCCAGCCACTCGATGGCGTCTGCACAGCCTCGTCTCGGCGCTCGCTGTTTTCCATTTGCCGTCGCACAGAGGCGGTCGTGAAGCTGCTAAAGTCAAAGCCACGTGCTGCGTCGGAAGTACCGTTCGGACACGTGGCGTGCACGTCAATGCAGTCGCGCAGAAAAGTGTCCACGTCAAAGGCCTCGCAGCAGTCCAAACGTGCGTCGTGGCTCGCAGTGGGTGTCGAGCTCCACCCGAAATCCGCCACCGAGTCGGACGACGCAGTTCTTCTTGTCGGACGTTGAATCGACTGCTGCAGCGATGGCGACAGAAGCTGCAGTCCACTTGGTCCCTTCTCAGTGTCCACCAATTCTTCCTGAGACATTGGCTGGGTCCGAGTTCCAGGCATGTCGACGAGCTATACGTTCGACAAGTATGTGTTCTGCTAGTCGCGTGGGGTGGACTGTAAGGTGCACTCGACCACACTGTTATCGCTTGCTACAGATAGAACACCGCCCAACTACGAGGATACGCACGGCGAGTTCGAGTACGCTGTAGTAGACAGCAAGTCAAGTCAAGTTGTTGCTGTTAGTTGCCTTGTTCGACCGATTCGTGTCGCTCGGCCGCTCGTTTCGAGGTGTCGCCGATGTTCAGTACAAATAAGCAGTGAGCACGACAATGAAGAACTGAGACGCTCGCGGTGTGTTGCTCGGCGTGGCCTTTATTCAAGAGAAACAGACGACCACATGAGCCCGGTAAGAATCAATGGGCCGTGAGCAGCTGGCGATAAAGGTCGAATCGAAATGGTAGCAGCTGACCGCTTGTTCTGTGGAGGTCGCGCGCGAGGAGGGGCAGTCTGATGAAAAAGCTGGCCGCGATCCTTAGTGCGACGCGACCACTACCAGCAACAGCACCACCACATTGGCTTCGCTCACACGCTGTATGGAGCACGAGCGCTATGTATGGAGAGGCCATCACTTCTACAGAGACTGTCGTGTAGAAACAGCGCCGGGTGTCCATGAATGACGATACATGTAGCTCACGCGCGTCACATCTCGACATTGTGTCTCGGGAGTGGGTTTGTAAGAGCCCATACTATGCGAAGTCCAACGATCTGACTCGACTCGCAGGCACAAGTGGCATAGAGACTGTTGCTACACGGTCAAATAGCGACCAAAGCTGCAAGCCGATCGAATCGCAGACTCCTGACGAACGCTGCTTTGCGAGAGAGATTCATGACTATCTATTGCACATGATGGTTACGCGCTAGAAGTCTGAAATCTTCTAAGCCTAGAATACAGCGCCGGTCGCGGGGTGGATCAAGGCACCCCTCTAGTGGTAGCGAAACTCCGCTAGCCTCAAGAGTAAAAAGTTCAAGGGAGGCATGTAAACGAGCCCCTCGAAGAACTGTCGACGCCCCTCTATGCTCACGCATAGCCAAGGCCGTTAATTGACGGACGCCGGTTGTCCAGAAATGGGCGACACTTTGAGCCGTCGTAGACTGCACGCCTCTGAACACGGCATCGTTGCGCTCGCTCCATAAATGCGTAATGCAAACGGAACACATTAAAAACCAAATCCGTCGCCACACCTTTTCCCCCGCTGCGGCATCATCGTGAAACCGCTCGAGCAACCGAGACCGCTGAAACGCCGGGATCGCCGGAGCCTGTCGATTCGCACAGTTGCTGAGACAACTATGGACTACCGCACTCGACACAGAAGCGCCGATCCAATGGCTGATGAACTTCGCCCAGCACGCGAACGCTGCTTTGCTGTAAAGGGCCTCGCGGGAACTTTAATCGATAAGCCGAAGCGATGTGTCGTGGCCAACTATGCCTGACGTTCACGTACGCATCTTTTGCATACCCCTCCACCATCTTCGCACGCAAGTTGTTTACGCACGATATTGAAGAACAGCGCAGTAGAGTGTGGGCCTCTATGCGGTGGATGCAATCACAAACACACGGCTTCTGGCTATCAAGCGCAGTCACATTCCCATCATAGTGAGCGCAAGAGTGCGTGCTTGCAATAAGGCGCGTGTGGGCTTCTTATGGCCTCCAGTTACGCGCTCTGTAACCAGTAGTCAGTCGTCGCGACGGTAGGTATCGAGTCCGTGCGCATCCCTTAGTGAACCCGATACTACGAGCTGCGGACATCGTGCACAGTCCATGAGAAAAGGGTTCCAGAAAAACAGCCTGCGGATCGACCAGGAAAGGTTGAGCGTGTGTGTCACGTTGTTTTCTCTACAGCACTGCATCTCCATGAAAACGTCCATCTGAACGAGGCAGATGCAGGTGCACCGTGGAAGACTTCAAGTCGATGGAAGTCGCTGCAAAGGTCTGCAGCGTATTCGTTTGTGGCACATTGTTCAGCCGTAGTGTCTTTTTATCGCTTTGTGTGAATGCAGTTTTTGCAACCTACAGCAGTGGTAAATTACGAGAAATATTCACCCCAGACGATTGCTTTGAAAAAAAACACAAAGGTGCAGTCTGTTTGGGAGTCTGTTAGTGTGAACCACCGTAAAAACAAACCATCTATCCGCGCCCCGACAAAAAAGTATCCATCGTCTCGGAGCCACATGGACGCCTTTGACTTCCTCGAGACGCTGCCGACGGCTACGCTCGAGCGTCTATTTGAAGATCCATGGGCGTGCCAAGCCATTTTCCAAGCACTCCCTCCACTCGCACAGCAGTTTGTCATGCGTCTACTGCCCACGAACGCTGTCGTTCCGCGCAAATTACTGGAACAATGGGTCGTCCACGAACCTGGAGACGTCGACCGTCTGCCGCCACAATTCCAAGAAGCCATACGTAAACTGGAAGGACTTCGAGTGTTTATCCAGCAGGAAGGAGGTGGATATCGACCACATCCGACGTTCCAGAAGCAGCTCATGGTGAGGCAGACGTGTCCAAGTGCTTGACAATTGTATCGAGATTCTCCAATGTGCTGACAATTCATTTCGTTGTTGGATATATTTCTTTCTGTTGGTATTGGATTCGTCGTCTTTGTCGGCAGTACGCGCTAAGTAACTTGGGTGGATCTCCGTGGGAACGTGGCCGACAATATCTGTCGAAAGATCCGGATAACACGTTCGCCCCAGCCGATTTGGAACGATATGCTCGAGCGAGGTGGGACTCGGTGCTGCATTATATGGTGGGCTCGACTGCAGTGCAAGAGCCACCGCAGTCAGTTGTGGACATCTTGCTGCGTACTCGCCTCTTGCAAGCTAGTGGCGCGGACTCGCGAGCACTCCATATTACCGACACGGGGTATGAGTTTATGCTCAAGGACATTCACGTACAAATGTGGATCTTCATGCTCGAGTACATCCGCACGCTGGACAACACGGGCACACTCAAGCAAGAGGACATTCTGCAGTTTCTCTTCCAGATCAGCTATTGCCAGACAGGAGGTTTCTATGCCGTCGCGGACCTTACCGAGACACAGCGGCTGCTTCTGGGCGACTTCATTGACTTTGGCCTGCTCTTCCGCAAGCGCTTGACCTCGGATCGCTTTTACACGACAAGTCTGGCAGTAAACCTGATTTTCGGTGGCTCCACGGGTCAAAAGCGAAGCCATGTGAGCCTCACGAGCTCATTTGCGGGCGTGCGCGCTGGACACAAGTCGCAGATCGCAGATCCCCACCAAGCGCCAGCTCTTGACCACGGCGCCCAGTTGCGCATTGTGGTCGAGACGAATTTCAAGATTTACGCCTATACGACGTCCACGCTCCACGTTGCAATGCTCAGTGTCTTTGCAGACATTGTGGCCCGATTACCAAATCTCGCCATCGGCTTTATCACGCGCGAGAGTCTGCGCTCAGCTCTCATCCACGGCATCTCTGCGCAACAGATTTACGACTTCCTGATGAAGCATGCGCATCCCAAGATGCGCCACAACACGCCAGTGATTCCCGAGAACATTGCGGATCAGATTTACTTGTGGGAGCGCGAGCGCAACCGCGTGCAGTTCTTGGCCGGCATCCTCTTTGACGGGTTCAACACCAAAGAAGATTACGAGAGCGTGCGGGAGTACGCGCTGACGCTCAAAGTGCTCACGTGGTCGGACCCGATCCACTTTCGCATGTCGATCGCGAGCGCTGGAATCGACAAAGTGCGTCACTACATACAAAATGAGCTCTCGTCTCGAGGGTGAACAACACCGTACGATTGCAGCGTGGGTGACAAGTGAAGTATACTTCAAGTGTGTGGTTGATAGATAAGATGGAATAACTTACTAATGCAGCACTCGAATAATGGTAGCGGCTCCAGTGGCTGGCAAAGGAAGCCCCCAATGCGTCCCGATGCGCAAAGCGAGTGGCTGCTGCTGTCATGTGGCCGATGCAAAGCACTCCTTCTCGTTGGTCGTACTACCGTCATCAGAGTAGCGACTGCGCGGAGACGAAAGAACTGACGAAGTGGGCAGAGCAGACGATGTCGTGTCGAAGAAGCGTTTGTAGATCGATCCGCATAGCATCATCACTGTACAGAGGGCACACAGATCATCAGACACGTTAGCACTGTATTTCTCTCGCACAACGCCATGACGACATTACCTTTTGTAGATGTTGATCCGGCGGGCTTTTTTCCATAGAGCTCTGTTGACAAACAAACGAGAACAAGTGCGTCATTTACACAGTCACACGACAAAAACGTGTAGACCAGTTTCGTACTTGATTCTTCGACCACCTCGTGGTGAAAAGTAGAGTGGCCACACATGCAGCCGACATGGTTCGCCCGCGTCGGCTCTCGGTCATCTTGCGGACACGGCTCGATCGTCTGCATGCGGTACACGCAGCATCGACCAGGGCGGCACAATTTGCACTTCCCTCGCAACTGTCCCTCCAGGTCGCGCTTGAACACTACGTGGTCAATAATGTCCTGCGGAACGCCCTTGAACGTCGTCGTCTCTAGCACAGCGTCCACATTTGCTCGGACGTAGTCCGCACAAATCTCCAGCAGCGACGGTGGCGTGAGCGCTCCAATGTCGATCGAGTATAAATCCTGCAGTCGATCCGTTCCATCGTAGCCTCCCAGCAGATACATTTTGCTGCTCACAACCACCGCCCGGTGAAACGTCCGGCTGCTCGGGATGCTGCCAGCAGTGCAGACTTCGCTCCACGTATTCGTCACCAGGTCGAGACACTGCAAGTCGTTGAATCGACTGTGCGTCTTGTCGACGCCGCCAAACACAAACATATTGTTGCCATAGATCACGGCCGTGTGGCGGTACCGATGGGGCGGGCTGCTGCCCTTGGTCTCCAGCTTGCGCCACTCGTTCGTAATGAAGCTGTACTCGTGCAAGTCATTCAGCGTGTCGCGGCCGTCCCACCCGCCAAAGACAATCAAGCGGTTTGTCTCGGCGTGCACGACGCCGCTGTGGCCAAACCGTCTCGACGGCGTCGCGCCCAGCGCCTGCAGTCGCTGCCAGCACTGGGCGTGCAGGTCGTAGCCGCAGAGGTCATTGAACCGGACCGAGCCGTTGTAGCCGCCAAAGATGTAGATGCTCGAGGCGTGCAGCACCATAATGTGGTCCGTGCGAGCTTCGGGTCGGTCGGCCACGACGCTCGGCATCTGACGCCAGCGCGCGTCGTCAAAGTTAAAGTAGTACAAGTCGTTAAAGTAGTTGCCGTCGCGGCCGTCGTAGCCGCCAAAGATAAACATGTCGCTCTGGTGGACGACGCCGAGCGCGCCCGAGCGTCGGGGCGGCAGTAGACCGCGCGTCTGGACTTGGGACCACGTGCTCGAGGCCACGTCGAGCTGGTAGAGGTCCTGTTGCCGTCGTCGACGATCCGTGCCGCCAAACACGTACACGCGGTCCCCTACACGGCGTTCCAGAGCACACACAGTAACGTAAACAGGAGCACCGAAACACCTCCTTGCATCACATGGCGCATCGCGGCTCGACAGACACTCGTCGTACCTTTGCTCGAGACAGTGTGGCCCGTGCGTGGACTATAGACGTCTCCATGTGGCTGCAGCTTCTCCCACGCACGCACTTCGAGCCGACGGAGGGCTGCGCAGGCGCTGCTGGCGGGCGCAACGGCATCGCACGCTGTCGACTGGAGGTCCTTCTCGGCGGTTGTGATGGAAAGTATCGCCATACTAAGTCGATGGAAGAGGAGCAGACGGCAAACGCTCGTGCGGGAAAACGCTCGTGCGGGTGGAGCAGGAGGACGTACGAAGTGTGAGAGGTACAGCCCAAAGGCAGTCGGGTGTCGGGTCGAGTCTACGCAGCTCTCGCTCGAGTCGTCGAATGCCACGTCTGGACCCGCGGCTTTGGCGGCTCTGTCAACAGCCAGGAGGAGTTTCTCAGAAAGCCGTTATGTTGCACCTCGTGCTCGAGCAGCAGCAGTAGTGGCAGTGGAAGCAGTGGCTGTACTTCAACGCACGTGCTGTCACCTCGTAGAGTGAAGAGAACGGTTTTTAGACACACGCGCGCGCACACGAATGCGGAATGCGCGAGAGTGATGGTCCCCGACGTTTCCCTTTTTGTCGGCAGTGGGATGGACCAGTGCGCACTCACTGCGCGCTCTGAATTGCAAATCCCGCACTGAAGAGGACCTGCGCGCGCACGCAGTGCGGGCCGTGGCCGTGGCTTCTGTTTTGCCCCGCCGGGCTTTGCTGCCATGCAACCACTACTTGGCTTCACTATGCACGCGACTTGAAGTCTCTGTTGCGTGATGTGCTGCTGCGCGACACACAGGTGGTGGAAAGGTCGGCCACATCTGTGACGTGTGTTCACACGCGCGTTGTAAGGCGGTGGACGCCCCAGCGCCCGTTGTGTTTCTCGCGCAGGTCCCTCCCACACTTACTGGGCTTACGTCCATGGAATTGGGACGGAGGAAGAAGGACTGCGATGCTGCGAGACATCTGGACGCATTTTGGGCCGGATCAGTTAGCAGCCCGTAAGAGACCATTTAGGAGTTTTGCAGGTTCAGATGATAAAAAACGGCTGGCAACGGCAATCGCGGCCGCACGCTGATCCCCTGTCATTACACTGCCAATTGTTCGTGGCTGTAATTTGTATGTAATTCATCACTGCTTCAGTTTATGGATTGCTCTGCAGTTTTAGCCGTATACATTACGTCGCTAAAAAGTCGGTATATAGAGATTTTACCTCCACACTTTGAGCAAAAACGTAAGACGCATTTTGGACAAGTGGCGCAGCTGAACCGAGAACATGTCGAAAGACTGTTGTCAGTTGACTCGAAGAACAACCACGAGAGTGCGCGAAACTATGTGCGCCGGGCGCTGGCACTGTCGAGCACACTGGACACAGCAATATAACGACCTTGACGCGAAGTCGTGATTCGATCGATCATCGTTCGAAGACGCAAAAACGAGGCACGTTATCGAAATGTTTAGTCGTGGACAAGTCGCGTTTCCCGCGAGTGTGGTAATAAAAGCCAGTCAAACGTGCACATGACTACAGCGTGGACAGTAGCTTTTTGGCCCTATCATCATCTGTGGTACCGCTTTCCTGGAACCGCGCCAAGTTCGGGCGAATCGACGATCGATGGAGACACATCACGGATCGTGCGTAGAAGAAGTATCGCGCCTGACGCCTTGATGCGTCTAATCTGCATTACAATGAACTCTGACCGGAAGGTCATCCTTCCACTGATTCTTTCTCCTAGATTTCTTACGCTCTGCAAGAAACCAACGTCTATTCGTGACAGATAGGGAGTGCAAGAGTACACCAAACACATGTGCATGCAGCGGTAGACTACCACGTTCGACACGTCAGCTTCACGTGGTTTGGAAGTGACTGGACGGGTAAGTTTGTTTGCGATCTCTCGGCACACAATGCGGACGACATCATCTTTATTGTCAAGCGCTCATAAAATCCGAGTCATTCTTTCACTCTGTTTCGATCGTCGAGCAACGTTAGCAAAAGTCGCCATCCGGCTTTCCGCGCCCGACTCAGAACTTGATACACCATCGAATCGCATGCTTTCACGCAAATCGACGGCTCGCACTGCTTGTTCGTGCGGTATCGACAAAAGCGCGGTCGAGCGCATGCTTCTTGAGAGGATCGATGGTGCCACCACCCTGGCCGAAAAATCACAATAACGTCCACCACGAAAAATCCAGTTTACGACAAGACTCGGTTGCGCATACAAAGCGCAAGTCGCGCCGACAGTCTCTCCCACACCTTCTTTCGAAACTAGACAGTCGCAAAAGAACACTACGGCACGGAAAACGATTCGTACTACCAGCAGCAGCACCAGCAGCAGCAGCGGTAGTCATAGCAGTCGGAAGCCGTCGTCGTACCAGTAGTCGTCGTCCTATAACGACTAACTGACTGATCGACTGATCGACTGGTCGGCTGACTGACTGGTCGGTCGCTACGAGGCGTCTGGCGCCCCCTCTCTCCGTGTCTGGAAAAGAACCGAAGAACGCCCCACCCAACCCGAGTAAAAGACACCTCGACCGAGCGTCGATCGACTCCCACCGCTGACGCCCCCCCCCTCTTCCTTCAGTATGAGGCGGGCCTTGACGCTCGGCGTCCGTCTGGCGACGCTCGCTCTATGCATCCAGTTCGTCCTGATGACGACAGCACAGGCCGTGTCGCTCCGTAACGGCACAGCGCCTGGCAGCGGCAGTGGGAGTCCCACCGTCGCGCAGCTCTTGGCTGACGTCCAGACGGCAGTGGCCGATGACCCGGCGCTGGCCCACATGTTTGACATTGAGAACGCCAGTGAACTGAGCGACGCGGAGCTCACGTCGCTCTTGCGGGACCTCTTGAACACGAGCGTCTTGGGGTCCGCGAGCGCCAGTGCAAGTGGTAGTGGCAGCGGTTCCGAAGGGTTCGACGGATCGATGGAACGTCGAGAGGACGCGTCGGCCGCGACAGACCCTACGACGCCGTCGGGTGCGCTCAAGAGCTGCTCACTGTCAGGGACCATAGCCGTCGTGGCGACGGGTGTGGCACTTGGCGTGGCACTGGTGTGGTAGACTGCCAGGACTAGGGTCGGCAGCACAGCAGATGGGGCAGATGATATGGAAGACGAAGATGCAGAAGCAGAAGCAGAAGAAGAAGAGACGAACTACGGCACAAACAATGACGGGGCACGTGCAATGGTTTGCTGCTGTACTTCGTTTGGGCGAGTGCGATTCAGTTCTGTCGGCTGTTTTTTCGCCATGTTTCCACGACAAGAGGGCTCGTTGTCGTAAAGAGAATGCACGGGTTGTCGTAATACAGGCCTCGAACCAAGTTTAGTTTATTTGAGACCGCGCATTGATGCGAGTGTTTTATTCGTGAGTTCGTGGGAATTGGCCGTTGGCTGTTGGATGCGATTGCAGGTGTCATGGGCTGCTCTGGTGCTACTGCTGCTGCTCTCTGGTGCTGTGTGCTCGGCACTGGTTTTGATTCATGCGGAAGGAAGAAAGAATACGAAAAGAAACAGTCGCTGATGATGACAATGCCGTCGAGTCGATGACAAAATTACCGCTGTCAAAACTCAGTCAACTGGACATGTGGCGAAGGAGGAATTGTCAAAACTGCGTTTGTTTCGTTTTCCTGTGTCGAGTGTTTTGTTTGTTAGGAGCTGAAGCAGCAGTCGGTTGAAGACACGGAGAACACGTTTGATGTTGCGTTGATCACGTGGACGTGACGGGGCTACAGCAGCTAGCGTAACAACATCGCAGCGGTCGAAAGGAAAAAACAGCAACATGTAGCATGATACAACTTGCAAAGCAAAGCGACAGATTTGGTAACAAAGAGCATCGACATTGGAAAGCAAGTAAACGTCGAGACGCTGCATGACCTATCTGCACTACAAACGAAATGAACGCAGAATGGTGGAAACGCCATGTCGAAATAGATGGCAAAAAGGCGATGTTATCTCCGGTCGACGTGGTCGTTTACACAATCGTGGCGTAACAAAGTCAGCAACCTCTATGTTCGACATCGAAAGGTAGGACCGACGGTGTAAAAAAGAGGTAGTCCACAGACTCCAGTGGGGTTCTTGGTTGACATCCGCCAATGCGTTTCGCTACAGCATAGATCAGCCAAAATTGAACAAGAGCTGTGGATTTGTCTCCATACAAATGCTAGCGATAGTACAAACACGCTTTGTTTTTGCCATCGACGTGACGGCCACACGACCAAAGAGGCTGAACATATCGGCTGCCCTACAACAGACGAAAAGTGGACGAAAAAATGACAGTAGTGCTCAAACACAATATTTCGAACCTGGAGTAGAGAACAGCGACAACAATTGTGCGAATAGTTACATGTCCAAAGTCAGGAAGACACGTAGGAACTACCTGCCACATGCTCGAATACCACTACAGAAACCGTTCGTTCGGTCGTGCAGATGCTCGATAGCACAAAGCGGTATTCCGATCAGGTCAGCGAGAGCTTAACAACTGGAGCACTTGCGCTGTCTGCTTAGGAAGCACAACATGCGTACATGAATGCCGCAAGCCTTAGGCTGCACAAAACCAGAGTAAAAAATGAGAGTAACTTCATATTGACAAACCCCTATGAATCCGCTTTGGTTTCGATCTCGACGCTCGCACAGCGTTTCTTCCGCTACTACGTGAGCTGAATATGTGAGTAGTCGCTGTTGCCAAAGTTCTCGAAACACCGGCGACAGACGACTACGCTCGTCGTGTGGCCGCTGAAAGTCTCGACATTTTCCTTTGACCAGCACGAAGCACACGCTCGGTACATGCAGATCTGACACCGCTTCGATCGACGCGTTGGGGTATCGAGTACTTTGAGTCGAAGGCGCTTCGTGCACGCGACGCACCGCGAGATATTTGCTTCTTCATTGTCGCGGTACTCGACGCCCGACCGACTGCTAAAGCTGCCCTGGACACTCGAGTGGTTCGCTGGACGCGGTCGCAGGAGCAACAAATCGGCGAGACGATGGAGGCTCCGGGCAATGGCCATCAGTCGAGTGCGCACGGTCTCCGAGTCGGCATAGCCTTCTGGAATACTTTGGGGAGCAGTAAACGTAGCGTGGAAGCTCACGCGCGAGCGAGGGCCCGCACAGGCGTCGGTCTCTGGCACTGGTTCAACTTGATACGAGGCCGTGATGCCGTGCAACTGCGTGACACGCTGTTTCTTCATTTTCCCCGCCGTGAGTTCCGTGTCCGGCATGGAACTCAGGACAATGGTGAACCCCATGGGCTCGTCCACCACCCCGTGACCAGATGACGACAAAGAGGATTCCGTCGAGCCATTTGTAGGGGACGACCCGAAAGTGACAGATGCCACAGCGCGAGGTCGATAGTGATGCAGGAAACACCACTCTTCGTTCCGAGCAAATCGTCGCGCGTGCGCAAAACAGGCCGTGCGAACTGTCGCGTGGTCGCCCGCATGGACGCTAAAGTCCTCTTGCTTAGGTCTTCTCGTGTCTTTCTCCTCGCCGTCGTCGTCGTCGTCGTCGTGCTCGTCCTGATGGAACGCTTGAGGCTGCACTTCATGGACAATCGATCCGTAGATAAACTGGTCCCCAAAGAACTCGCGCGCCACTGCATTGTACTCACTTTCGGTCCGCGAGCGGAGCAAAGGCTCAATGTCCCGTGGGTCACACGCCACTTCGCCTGTCGTAAGCACTTCAAAGTCTTCTCCCTTGTCCCCCATGCGGCGGGAAAGCATTGCAAAGCCTGCAATGTCTTTGCAGTCCCACATGACAGATGGCACGCGAAGCAGTCGCTTCTTCCGACTGAAAACACTGGCTTGACACGCCCGATGGATCAACTCAGCATCGGACACCCGCACTTTCCGTGCCGAAAGCACAAACTCGTTCGACTCGAAGCCGTGGCACGGCGACATGAGGGGCGAGAGTCGATCGGTTGTAGCCGTTCGAATGGAGCTCGTCAAGTGCGGTCGGTGTCGAGTGGCAAGGCAGATCGAGTCTGGCGCGTGCCCGCACGACTCGTCGACCGTCCCGAGCCGCACCTCGTGGTGGTCGGGATCTTCTTGCTGGTGATTCCCGTCACGGTCATGATGAACGTCTTTGCTTCTCGGTGACCGTTTTCGACTCGGTAGAAACGACAAGTGGAGTTTCTGCGGCATGAGATGTGTGTGTATAATGTGCGTGTGCGTATCGAAACGTCGTTGTCGTCGTCGTCGTCGTCGTCGTGACTAGTAAACGAAAGGACAAATGGACTTGTGCGCGTACGCCGTGTGCGTGCTATTGGCAAAGAAAGTCGAATGCAAAGAGGCAGGTAGGTACGTGTGCCTCCTGATAGCTCTGGACTGCTCACCAGCCGTGAGTAAGGACTCGTCAGTCACGAGGAATCGCGCGCCCGTCTCGTGAGGTTTTCAGAGAGCACATTTGCCTCAAAGCTCGTGGCCAGCACAGCACGTCTCTGCTTTCTAGAGAGTCGCCACTGCCTCTTTTGAGCCGAGATATAGTTTACAACAACAAGTGATAGGCGACGATCCCACAGCACACAGAAATCCGGACTTCTCTCTTCTTCTCGAGGGGTTGCACCAGGCGCCAACGTCGGACCAAGGGCGACATGGTATCGATGCTAATGATGACGATGACGATACTACTCACAAGACGTGGGTACGTGCGTCCATGTGCCTATTTCGTGCTGGTCGATACAAGTCGTACGGTGCTGCTGGATGTTATTCATCCTCTCGACTTGTTCACGATCGCCCTGAAGAAACGCCCGTCGGTACCTCTCCAGTCAAACAAACAGTCACTGAAAGCTGTTGTGCGCTACAAAGTGTAGTAAACCTCTTTCGATACGTCGTCCCCACTTCTCGCTCTCTCTCTCTCTCTCTCTCTCTCTCTCTCGACTGAATCGCCGCGTCCCACGTATCCAGTAGTACCCAGTTCGGACCAAGTGGCTCGCTCGAAACGATAATCGATGGCGATAGTCACTGCAAAACGACGCTGCGTTACGACTACAACCCCTGTCGTCCCTTTGCGACTTAAGACGTGGAGAATCCCGTGGACGACAGCATCGTCCAAGACGAGAGCGCACCACAACGCACTTGTCGCGACTGCGGCCGTGCAACGTTTCCAACGAAAACCCTCAGCTCACGTCGGTCGGTCTTTGCGGCTCAATGTTTGTTTAAAACGTGGGGTCGTTGCGTATGCCCACGTGCTTCGTCCATGGGTGTTGTGTTTTTTTTCTTACCATTACAATACGACCGCAAACGAGTGATGTTGTAGCAAGAGGGATCATCGATGTCGCTTGAGTGCAACGAGACGCCGCGTAGATAGTACTTGAACAACCCAATTACAAAGAGACTAAACGATCGGTAATGTCGAGATACTGCATTTGACTACAACTATAACACAAGTGGACGGACGGGATGTCCGTGCGTCGATCTTCGCAACGCACACATACAGACAGATGCATTCACAACATCGATACAAATCGTTCCTTCTCGTTCACGTCCACACTCACTCCCACGATGTCTGCTGCATGGCCTCTGCTTTTGTTCGGATGATCCGAGACGCGATCTCGCCAAAGCGCACGAGCGTATCGTACTGCATCCGCGTAATGTCCATCGTCGACGTATGGACGCAGCAAATAGAGCCCACGACGAGTCCATCAGGTCCGACAACGGGGATCCCGCAGTAGTACTTTGCCCCTTGGAACTTGACGGGATTGAGGTTGTAGAACCGAATGTCGGCTTCCGGGTGGCGCACAATGAACGGCGCCGTGCCCATCATCAAGTGCTGGCAAAACGTATGTTCCCGCGGCAACAGCGCGTGCACGAGCTCCGCCATCGTGCAGCTCAGTACCAACTGATGCGTCGCGCCGACGATCGTCACCATGACGCAAAAAAAGCCCATCTCGCGGCGCAAGAAGGAGCAAATGATGTCGAGCTCCGGCAGCGGCTCGTTGTAGTCCATGAGCCGTACGCGGGTGATCCACTCGAGCCGAGCGACTTCGTTCGCAGGAATCGGCGCTGGGGGCGACCCCACCTGTGCGTCCGCTGGGTGCACCGCATAACTCCGTTCCACTGCATTCGCAAGCACACAGTCTTCTGCTCGCGGTGCGTCCGTCGTCCGGCGTCGAAAATACGCTTCCACTGCAGACATGTACTCCCGCTTCTCGTCCTGCACTGGACCTTCGTTGGCTCCTCTTGTCAACGCCACGGGACCGTCTTCCGCCTTGTGCCGCCCAAGGAGCATCTTGATCACCGTCACGGCCGCTTCTTTCGTAGCTTCGGCCGCGAGGTCGTTCTCAAAGCTGTGGCCAAGAAGAGGTCGCGACGGCGCCGCAGGTGGCCCTTCGAACTCGGAGTCGTCGACGATCCGCAAAACGCCGCGACTGCCGTCGCGCACGTTCGAGTAGTCGCAGCGGTCGACCCACTCGAGGCACCGCGTGCAGACGCCGAGCATAACGACGTGACCGCTGCTCGTTTCAATGGGCTCGCGCGACCAGCACGTGCGGCAGACGCTATAGGCGCAGAGGTGGCACCGGCGCGCGCGGCGGACGATGGCACTCAGGCGAAGGCCTTTGGTGCACGCCACGCAGCGCGTGTTCGAGTGCAACGAGGTGTCCGGTACGGCGTTGACGAGCGCTTCCGAGGCAAACACTTGGACACCCAACCGCCGGCGGCGCACGACGGCCGGCAGCCGCGCAATGCCGTGGGCAAAGGCCACAGCCCGTGCCCGTGTGGCTTTCTCACTCGCACTGGACAGGTGCTGTGACTGGTGGTGAGCTGAAGCAGACGATGACGAAGAAGACGAAGACGAAGACGAAGCGTGTGAAGGGGTACGCGTCGAGGCGTAGAACACGACGCGGAGTTTCGTCGACGTGCCGTCGCTCACGTCTTTTGACACGGCGGGGACAGTGTCAACGACAACGAGCGTCGAGAGGTTGGCAATGTGACTCACGCGGCCTTCCACTGCTTTGCCCGTGGCCACGTCTTGAGGCGAGAGCGAGAGCCGAAGGATTGAGAACCCCTTGGACAAGTCGGCTTCGGAAGCGACGGGTGCAAAGGTCGTGGGCTGGAACGAGTCGAGGAAACACCACTGCTCGTTGCGGGTGAGGAGGACGTGCGGGCGAGCAAAGCACGCGGTTTTTACCGTCACGTGGTGCGTTCCATTGACGTTGGGCGGGTGTGCGGTCGGCCGCTCGAGGTCGTGCACGAGACTGCCGTAGATAAAGCGGCGGCCGTAGACGGCTTTCATAGCAGTGTTGAACTCGGGTTCACTTGTCGGGCGGAGGACGCCAACGAGTTCGTGCGCACTGCAGGCAATGCACCCGACGGCTAAGACTTCAAAGACGCCAGAGGTGGAGCTGCTGGTGGTGGAAGAAGAAGGCGAAGAAGAAGGCGAAGGGGTTGTGTGGAGGTGCTGTGCTTTCGTGTCGTTCTTGAGACGGGTGGAGAGCTCAAAGGTCTCGCGACGAGCAGTGGCGCTGAGGCTGATACACGACGTGCGGTGACTCGCGTCCCAGGAACTCAGTGGATCGGCGAGCGCTGTCTGGAGCGCGAGCGCCGCGTCGCACTGGTGCAGACGCGACAAGAGCTCGTTGTCACTTAGGCAGACGTTGCGCAGGGGATACTGACGTTGTGGGTGTTGTTGTGGGTGTTGTTGTTGTTGTTGTGGTGAGAGTGGCGCTGTGGCAGTGGCAGTGGCTGTGTGAGACCCATTGCTCGCCGTGCGTGAAATGGGACGCGCTCGACCGCTGAAGAACGGCATGTCACGCGCGCAGAAGGCACTGCTGCAGAAGGTGATGTCACTTGATAGTGGACGTCCACTGGCGACGACGGACGCGGGTGCGGGCAAAAGACAAAGTGCGTGGCGAGCGCACTTGCGACTTGGCGGGGGGTGTCACGTGGGCAAAGCGATGGACGCGTTCCGTCAAGTTGTTCATTGATCGGTTCAAAGTGCAGTGAGCGAGTGCACTTGTTGTCGTGTCCAGCGAAAAGTTCAGATACGTTGGGGAAAGCAGCAGCGACAAAGGGGAAGAGGTGCACGACGGTGTGTGCGGGGTGTGTGTGTGTGTGGGTTCCTCGCCCCCTGCCCGACGCCATAAGCTCTGGCGAGCGGACAGTCGGCCCGCCAACTGGTTTGAAGAGCAGGAGGAACGCGGCAGATGGGCAGTGTGGATCAATGGTCGACGATGGCCACCGAGAGTGGTGTAGCGCGGCCATTGGAACGGCGACGGCCAGTGGCGAAGTCATGCGGTATCCTGCAAGCGATCGAGCGCGCGTCCGTCATGACGCGGTAGTTCTGAATCGAGCACGAGGATGGGATCGACGCGGGACCTGTAGCTGTGGTGCCTCCGCTGCAGCAGCAGCAAAAGGTTGTGGTAGGGGGCGGTCGATCTTGCTGCATGGGGTTCAACGGGGTAGGCAGCTTCAAGTGAGTGGAGCGAGCCACGTGCTTGTCCTCAAGTCCCGAGCAAGTCACTGGTCGCAAAGGCACTGCCTCACGTGTGGGGAATGGCCGTAGACTTGACGCGAGCTCCAATTGAAGACGACGTGGAAGCAGCTCCGCAAACACTGTGCAACAAAAGCACATGCGTATCGACACATTCGCAGTGTTCCAGCAGCTTCCCTCGTAGGACGTACGGCTATCGCTGCCGTATAGCACGTCAACTTGCTTTGCACGCTTGTCAACGCAGTCAACATGCTCGACAATGATAACCAGAGGCCGTGATGGCGAGCACGATCGATGCCCCAAACTCGTTTCGCGCAATCAAAGTCGCGTAGCAGAGCTTCAAGCACGTACATCCACCACGTATCGTCAACGTTTACGCACTTGATCCTGTCTCTGGAACCACACGTGCGTAGGGCCTTCCGAGCACCGTATCATATATATATTCGAGAGCGCTGCATGAAGACACCCACGAGCTTTGCTCGACACTGGACACTCGATGGGATAGTTGGACACGGGATGCGTCAATTCCTGGCAGATCGCAGAAGATCGGATGACCTAATGCCTCTCTTGCTTGAAGTCTCGCTCGTATGGTGGGTAAACCTGGATGCGAGCTTTCGGCTGTTGCGACACAGGAGGGAAGTGGGTGCACACGCACCAGTCGCCACGTAGCAGCAGCACTCGAGAACAGCGGCTGCAATCATCGGATAGATGTACCAATGGACACGATATCTCGGCTGAAGAGCGATCTGCTGTTTCTTGTGTCGGCCCTTCCAGCAACTTCCAAACATGTCGAGAGAAAAGAGCGCATCGTTCAGTCGCGCCAGTCTCACAGTGGCGGGAAGACACATCCCAACTTGGACGGCACGAACCCGTCCACCTCCTCGCGCAAAAATGCCGCGAGCTCTCCACGTCGTTTCACAGTTTGCCGACCAACTAAATCAATGTCGACGGCACAAACCCATTGCACCACATCAACGTGACGGTTTACCATTGCCTCGAGCAGTCCATCAGTCGACACGAAGCTCGTGTCCACTCGTGTCGATCGATCTGTCGAGGTCGGATTGTCACTGCGTGTCGCGCTCTGCTTTGTGAGAGAGACCATTTGACGACCGACGTTTGCTTGAAGCCAACGCAGCACACGCAATTGGCCGTGTCCAGCAGCGGCATCAGCCATGGCCTTCACGACAGCCATCTTGTGAGCACTGCCAGGCACATTTCGGAAAAACGGAAACTTCTCGTGCAGCCATGCTAGAACCCCGATCTGCCCAGACCGTGCAGCAGCTAGTAGAGCGTCGTTCCACATCGTGAGTCTTCCTAGCTTTGCATGAAGCTCTGCTGCTGGTACGTTCAAGAATATCTCGCAGTTTCCACAAATCCATGTCACGACGTCGAGGTGACCCATTGCACTTGCTACGTGGAGAGCATACTCGACTCCGTGTTGACGGAATCGCTCTTCAGTTCGTTTGGGCTGGAAAGTAAGAAACACGTACGTGAGGTAGACAAACTGCCGATACTTCACGCCCCATTCCACAATCGACGAGTCGCCCATGAGAGTCGGACTGTGTGTTTGAAACCATTGGAGCGTATGCCCCGCTTTGGTGTACCGCATGATCGCAGTGAACGTCTGCACGGTAAACAACTGCGGGTGTTTTACCGAATAAAGCAGTTCCAGCACCGTGAGGTCTCCACGCTGGGCTGCCCACAGCGGCATCCACTCGAGGTTTAGTGACAACTCGGGACAATACCGTAACACAAGGCGCACAAACTCAGTTTGCCAGTACGGACTTGTCTTGGCTGGCAACGCCCATGCAAACGGATCGAATCTGGATCGCCGGTCATCAGCAAGTGCTCGGACACTGACCAAACGGCTTGGAACTCCATTTGCAACAGGTCCGACTTCACTGCCACTTGTCGTCGCACTTGGCGCGACAGATGCAGCGGTAACGGGGACAGAGTCTGAGGACCCAGCGCTGGACTCGCCACTGCTACCACTGGAAGAAGAAACTGCAGCAAGTAGATCCTCGTCAGTCATGCTTCGACCAGCCACAGAACGCGACACGAGCTCGCGCTCTTTCACCAAATGGGCAAAGCTCGGAGCTGCCAGCTTGTGCTTCAGCAACCACTCAATCATGTCAAAGTGACGGAGCACCGCACAACGATACAGCGTGATGCCATCTACGACATCGAGTTGCCGCGCACATTCAGTGGACGTGTAGTTATCACACGACAGTCGTCGCTCAATTGGCGTCAGTGACAGTTTCGGGAGCATCGCGTCAATGGCGTTGATTGTTACAGCACGGCATCGCCGCTCTCGCACCAAAACTATCTCCTCCGGTCCGGCAGGATACCTGTCGACTCGCTTCTTGATCCATTCTGCCATTTCCACATTACCTGTAGGCGCGGCAGCAATCAGCACGTGCGGTGACCATACGTTAAGCTGCTCGACAACATACGCCAACAGGCCAAGGTTACCACTTGCAGCTGCCTTCTCAGCAGCGGCGCAAGACAAAGTCTGCTTGATCTCGACTGGAACGCGATCTGCAATGTACTTGACGAGCTCAACATGACCCGAGCCAATAGCGGCTTCAAGTGTGCGCTGGTCTAGTGGCATCTTCATCTCGCTGTGAAGATACTGCAGCGTCTTGATCTTGCCCTGCGCTGCTACACTCGATAGAAATGCAGGCGAGCACGAGAACCGCGGAAAACGAGGGGCTAACCATCGCAGCACCTCCAAATGCCCATTCGTAGCTGCTAGATCCAGCACCATCGAGCGGCATCCGTCGCTGCTTCGATGTTGATACAACCACTGCACGACTTCCAAATGGCCATTGCCTGCAGCGCTGCACATGCCAACCGCTGTCCCGCCTTCCCGTCGGTTCGCATGCAAGAACTTGACCACATCCAAGTGGCCATTCGCTGCAGCCATATCCATCGCCCGACTCGTACAGGGCCATCGCCCATCGTCATGCAACTTCTTCACCATGTGAAGATCCCCTTGTGCCGCCGCTGTATCCAGCGCTCGGTACCGCTTTCGACCGAGCGCCGTCGACCGAGCAGCAGCGTCCGTCCACGACAACAGAGGGTCGCGCTGGTCAAACACGTCGGCCAAGAGCCCAGCTCTCGACGCAAACACTTCTCGGTAACACCTCTGCTGCGGAAACACGGCAATCCAGTTCACCACCTGCAGCTCCATCTCCAGTGGCTGCACCATATGCACCGTCACTTCCCCCTCTTCCTCCTCCTCCTCCTCCACCACCTCCTCTTCCTCCTCCTCTTCTTCTTCTTCTTCATCTCCTCTTCTTCTTCTTCTCTTGGGCCGCGTTTGCCCACTCTGTGCCTGTTCATAGAGCCACATGACGACCTCCAGTTTCCCTGCTGAGCCCGCGTACTCCATCGCGCGGTACCTCTCGTACCGACTGCAGCAGTGCAGCCACTGGACCACGTCGAGCGCGCCCTGTCGCGCGGCTTCGTACATGACTTCGGCCGGGAACTCGTACGCGCTGTTCCGGACGCACCAGCGCAGTACCGTATTGCAGAGCTCCACGTTCGTGTCCAATTGGCCCCCACGTGACCGCTCGACGCGCTTGAAAAGCTGCTCGGGACCGCAGTTCCCACGCGTGACGCGCCCGCGATAGCTCGTGCGAAAGCGCAAGAGCCGCTGCACCACATGGGCACAGCCGTAGGCCGCTGCGCAGTGCAACACGCTCGTAAATTGCTGATACGCGTCGCCCAACGACAGCACTTGCGCGTGGGCGTAGAGGAACGTGACGAGCGGCGCGTGCTCTGCGTCCAGCGCGTACACGACGAGGCAGACGGCTTCGCGGGGCGACAGACAGGCGACGATCGACGTGAGCGCTGTCTCGGCGCCGAGCAGCTGGTGCCAGCGCCGGTGGAGGGGCATCGCGACGGATAGAGAGAGCGCGCGCGCGAGAGACTGCGTAGGGGACGGCGCGCGGGGCGGTAGGGGGCTATCCGGTGTTGCTTATGCTGTGTGTCGACGGTTAAGAGGGTGCAGCACGGGGTATGTTCGTGGTGGCGCGCGGGGGGGGGTGGACGGACGCGAGAGGCGAACCTGACAAATGGCATGCGTATGACGTGGCGTGAGTGGGTGGGTTGATCGAGCGTGGGAACAAGATGGAAAGCAGGATACGCGTATGCTGCTTTGGAGTGAAAGGAGGAGGAGGAGGAGGAGGATGACGAGGGCGCGGAGGAGGACGTTGTCGGTGCTTCGATGTTTTTTTTCGGCCAGACGGTCCATGTTGTAATTTGTTTCGTGTGCGTACTTGGATGGATTGGGGTCGGCCGGTATACTGGTACGTTAGAAACGGCTGCTGCGTGGGATCTTGGATTCCGTCATTAGGAGGTATGTCATAACGGACAGGTCGAGTGTAGTTCGGTGCGTGGACGACACACGACTCTTTAAATTAATAGCTCATAGCTCTTGGATTGTTAGCGGAGTGAACACTAGACGCGTGTTTGTGAATTGTACGGGACTGCGAGATGAGAGCACCTGAGAGCAACAGCACTTGCAGCACAGTTTTTGATCTCCTTTCTTCATGCTCGACAAGTCTATTGTGCCAAACGACTTGCACTGAGCTTGTGCGAACACTTGTGCGTTTGGAGCTGGAAGGTTGAAGGTGTCCACAAAATCAATGCATCAACATGTCGTAGAGCGTACTGTCGTCAAGAACTGGTTGTGTGTATGGCAAGAAGTACTAGTATAATAGTAGAAAAGATACTGCTTGATAGTGCTGGAGGCAAAGTGTCACGGGTATCGCGTGTTGCCCGCGTCGTTCAGCCATATGTAGTACTTGTTCAGCTTTCTAATATCCAAGCACGCTCGATCTCTCAAAATATATCTCTTTGACATGCATAAGAACGCATCTTTGATCCCTTGCGGCCTGACGCCGAAGGTGTGAGACAAGCTAACTCCATCGAAACGATCACTTCTCCCTTGCGGAAAAAGGGCACGAAGTGCACGCTTGATTGAGGCGAAGACCATAGGAAACAGTTGATGACTTGTCAACTACAAACGAAGGAGAATAGAGTAAGCTCCTGCGTTGTATGATGCGGTCAATTTCTAGCTACCTTTAATTATATGTGTTTGTTGCGATCAGTAATTACAATATTAGCAGTGATTCGGGCACGTCGCTGACACAGCTTCCCCGCAGCTCCTGAACCAGCTCACGCTTTACCACCTCCCCGATCTCCTCCAACTCGCGTTTCTCTTTGGCTCCATTAGCTTTGTCCTGTAGCTGAAGCAAGTGTACGTGGCGATGGCCGGGATCTATGTCCGAGATACTAACAAGTGGTGCAGGGCAGTGAATCCTTTGACTCTTTACATGTTGCCGATCTTCCCCGCGCTGTCACAGTCGATCTTGTTCTGCAGACGATAGCGGCGGTAGCATCGCTCGAATGCCTGGAGATCTTGATATCGATGGGCTGGATCTTGGTATGCGTTTTCGGTGAGGCATGAACTCGACATTGACAAGCTTCAAGCCATCTTAACATGCCCTGAGGTATTGTCACATCATAAGAAGACTCTCGCAATATATAGTAGAACCTCGGCTTCTACATGAATCTATACCTCATTGATACAAGTAGAGGACATGCCTGACACCTGTGAACACGTACCAATCCTGATGGGAAGCCTGAAGACAAGTAGGTATAAGCCATGAGGTCAGCAACTCAAGATCGGTTTCTCTGCTTGTTCTGGGTGCCTGTTGGCTTCGTAGAGTGACGATGTTCTATTTGCGCGCGACGGTCCGCTTGTGATCGATCACGTTGGATCAACTTGTCGCCACTACCGCACTATCATCCGATGAGTTTAGACTCCCGCAATGTTATCATAGTCGTCGTCCATCGATCCCATAACTTATTAGAGAAACGCTGACGGTTTCTTATGACTATATAGAATGCTGCGGCAGAAGACAATACATTTTTGGGAAAGGAAAACAAATAGATTTTGCTCAGAAGCTTTAGTATACACGCAATTATGTGGACAGAACGATTGGTGGCAGTACTATTTTTGGGTGTGCGGCACAAATGAGGTCGCGAAGATGCAAAACGTTTCCAGCCAACTCACTCGCCGTTGGCAAACCATACATTAACCTTTCGACCGTCTCGTGGCCAAACGACTATGTGGAGTTGTACGTCATATCGCAACCACTGAACGAACTTGCCTGTCCAAGATGTTGTTGTACTAGAATAGAGCTATGACACGCAGTACTCGTCGATAAAAGAGACAAATGCATAGGCGCGCGATAAAAAGTTGGTACCTTCCGACACACACGACAAAGGGTGTTGCGATAAGAGGCTGACAAAAGCTGATAGTAACTAGTTGCCGCTTGTCTACAATGTTCGCTGCTCATACCGCTTTTGTTGCAGCAAACCGACGGAGGCTTGTGCGAAGCCACGGTTTGGGCTGGTGATCGCGTTCTGATGGGAGCGACGACATCGAAGCAAACCAGAGCTCGTTCTGCGATGGATGAGCGCTTTGCATGCAATTCATTCGATCTTAACTGACTGGCAAACCGGGGACCGTAGCCATTTTCTGTAGACCATCGATCTTAGTGATGACGTGGAACATCCACGCAAATTGCAAAGCAGTACGGCCATCTTTTGTTTTGTGCACCACCTTTGCAAATAGCTGGCCTACGGTCGTGCAGATTAGTAGTAAAAGTGAGGTATATAGAGGAACGATTATCGACCAGCAATACCCTGTGGTCGTGCAGAGTATACGAGAAGGGCTTACACTAAGAAGCCTGCTAGCTTCTCGAAGCGTCCGAAACGACACTGAAGCATCGTAGATGGGATCACGATAATCTCGATAGTGTTTATACCGGTCAAGGCAAAGCCAAAATCCTCGGTAGCGATCGACTGCCGAGGGTCATCCAAAGAAGACTGCAAGTCAGGTATCGATTGCATTGGTTCTAAAGAAGCACGACAGGCGCCAGCGGTCATCCAGACTGGTGTGGTGATGAGCAAATACGAATATGCAATGGGTCTCTTGTTACATGTTTGGGCAGAAATTGCTTGTAGTTGTTAGAAAGCGAAATTGAAGTTGCCTGTGATGGACCACATGCAAGTTCATGTTTGTACGTACAGTATATGTATATCGGTGGCACATTATACAATGTAATAACAATTTGGTGCATTTTTACCAATCTCTCATGTAGTGGTGCACTTTTATTATACTTATGTTGTCGGGCATTATCGGTATTGCAGGTATCAAATGTACTTCTTACTTTCCTGCCGCAATCCCTTGACCAAAACTTATTTACGAGACCTTCGGCGTGTTTGATCCGATACGTTTTGAAGAATAGCACCAAATTGCTTCCGGTAGCGCCGCAGACTAAAAACTCAGTTGTTCACTTCCTTCTCGGTCATTTATTCGTCTGGTCAAACTTACCAACAATGACGCAACAAACGTGAGATACCGAGCTTTCTATTGTCCTCTTCACACGCCAACCGCAACAAGTGCACACGTCCATATCTGTGGCACCGCCAGACATGCAGACAAGCGCAAAAGGGTTTTACGACAATCAAGAGTAACGTCATTAGCAACGAAAAGAGGCAATATCCTGGGCGAGGAAGTCAACGCCGAAATGATGCAGCAGAGCGCACCACCACAATCATCGTGACTCACGCACGCATATGATCGTCACACTTGCGATGGCACATAACAAGCAATGTGATTAGGCTGTATGCCCATATATAGGCCTTGATGATGCAAGGTTGGATGCAAGCAGAGGTAGAAGTGAGCAAGAGCAGTTTTGCCCTGCGCACTGGTAATAGCAAGTAGAAGCGTCGTTTTGTCCGTAAACTATGGTGCAGTTGAAGCCACAATTATATTGCACCACTCGCAACTACAGTGTCTGCGACGGAGCTCTTCACGCTTGTTGCACACAACCCAGCATCACCACCTGCTTCATCGCAACCTGTCACTCGTCATTGAGCGCACAAGTGAGTGATGCAAACAACGAGTTGCCATCCAGTAAACAGCAGTCAGACCAAAATTGACTCGACTCGCTCACGCCCTGCACGCAATGCCGCATCGAGCATGCTCACTCGATCCTGCTTCATGCCCTACTGACGCGACAAAATCTCCACAGCATCGGTCTTCTCTTCCATCAGCTCCGTAGCGGTGGCTTTCATCATTGCAGCAATGCGCGACGAGACAGAGAGGCCGTTGACGATCTCGTAGGCGCCATTGCCCGTGCACTTGACCGGAAACGAGTACACGAGGCCCTCTGGCACTCCGTAGCTATTGCCGTCCGAGCACACGGCCATCGACACCAGATCGCCCTCCTTCGAGCCGTGGAACCAGTCACGCATGTGCGCACCGATCGCCGCTGCAGCCGACATGGCGCTCGAGAGTTTGCGAGCTTTAATGATAGCAGCGCCACGCTCTTGCACGTCCTTCACCAGCTTTGTTTCGATCCAGTCCTTGTCCGAGACAACCTTGTCCAGCGACTCGCTCTTGCCCGCGTGTGGCAGCAGCACCCCAGCGTGCGTGACGTCCGGCACCTGCGTGCTCGAGTGGTTGCCCCAGATAATGACCTTGTGGATGTCGCTCGACGTGACTTTGCTGTTCTGCTGCGTCTCGTTCACCTTCTCCACGAGGAACGCGCGCAGCCGCTCGTGGTCCAACCGCGTGAGTGCCGTAAAGTTGGCGCGTGGAATGCTCGGGGCGTTCTCCATAGCAATGAGGCAATTCGTGTTTGCTGGATTGGCCACGACCAGCACCTTGACATTGCGGCTCGCAAACTTGTCCATGGCGTGTCCTTGGGCCTTGAAGATCGCCACGTTCTTCTCAATCAAGTCCTTGCGGTGCATGCCTTGCTTCCGTGGGAACCCACCGACGAGAATCGCCACGTCGACGTCCGCAAAGGCCGTCGCAAGGTCCGATGTCGGCGTGATGGCGTCCACGAGGTGCAACGCGCAGTCCTGCAGCTCCATCTTGACGCCGTCCAGCGCCTCTTGGGCCGGTGCAATGTCCAGCAGACGCAGGTCGAGGCGTTGCGTGGGTCCAAAGACGTGGCCGCCGCAGACTGCAGGCCAAGAGGAGCAGCGAGCGGTCGTGAGGAGGTACAACGTGACAGAAAGAGACGCACGAGTCACGTACTGAGCGGCAGCAGCGAGTAGGCAATTTGGCCGGCAGCACCGGAGACGACGATCTTGAGGGCCGTCATGACTGAAAAGCAAGAGTGATGGTCGGGTCGCGTGTGTCGGGGCTGTGGTTGCGCCTGAGTGCGCAAAAGGGGAAATGACAGGAGGAAAGCAGGCGGGGGCAAACGTTGAACGTTGCTGCTGCCTTTTCTGCTTCAAGGGAAACACTGCGCAAAACATCGAGTGATTGCTAAGGCAACTCCTGCGTACGTGCGGGCTATGGAAAGGGCGCGACCGGGTTTTCTTGAGGTTTTTTGCCGACAACTGTTGACCACGCAGCCATGGATTGATTACGGTGCGCGCACCAAGCAGCCGTGGATCACAAACACGAGCAGCCGCGGGCTAACGTGTCTCAGTGCATGAACAAATTGTTCCTTGAAAGGCGCTCGTTCTGTTGCGCAATGCAGTGACCGGCCGAGACGGCGCCTCTATATCATCGGAGGTGCAATTGACAGTCTTTGTGTGCTGCTTTGTCGCTGTTTATCCGTCGCAAGTGCTTGAAACGCTACAACGCATAGTCGCCTCACGTCAACTTGTGTCAAGCGCTTCCGCGTGTCATTTTCAGTGCAGCCAATGCGACGTGCTGAATCGACTGGTACCTGATCGGGATATGTCAGCAAGACAGATCCAGACGTCAATGTCAACGCAAAGCTGCACCGCACAACGGCCAGGAGTCGTCGTCGGATACAGTCGGCACACAGTATATGCAGCAGCCAAACCAAAAAAGGAAACAGCTTGTGCGACGTCGAAGCCATTGCTTGCAACTTGCTCGAACTGAAGCCAGTAGGCGTCTTCTTGACTCGACTCGACGTACAAAGGCGACCGCCCTGTCCCTTTTGCCCGTGCACAAGCGTCACACTACTAACAATCCATTGCATCATCCCCCGTCTCGTAAACTCCCTCTCGTAGTGGTCGTCGTCTCTGCCAGTAGCAACCCATCCGTCCGCGCCTTTTGAGTGTGGGGGTGGCAGACAATCTCGATGTGCGTGGGCGAGACGCTCTCACTGACGGCGCGTAAGACGTTCGAAACGGCTATTGGAAAGCCGCTCCGAAACTTGTAAACACGAAACGCCCGCAAGCGCTACTTTCAGTTTCGAACGCAAACTCTTTCTCGGGCACCAGCGAAAGTCTCTACTAACAAAGTCGAACAAAGCAGTTAAGCGAACGATCACGATCCGATAACATGGACATCGCTTTTGCCCTAGTGCTCTAACCTTCAACGCATATCGGCTCGACCGTTGGCCGTTGAGCAAGAGTCGGAAGACTTTGCAGCCGCATTGTGCAAATATCCGTGCGCGGACAAACTCTGTCGAAGAAAAAAGAGCGTCAAGAGTCACAGGGCGTCGTAACGGCTCATCGTTTACTTGGAAAGTACGACGTGCGACGAGAACGGCGCACGGTCCGAGTTCAGGTCCCTATGCGTTCATCTCGAAAGGAGCTGCTAAGGACAAACAAGAGAGAAAGAGGGAGAGGGGAGAGAGCTCTGTCAGACTATTCGCTCGAACCTGTGCGCATCAGCGAGCACGGCCGTGCTACCAACACAACCCACTGGCCTGATATCACTGGGTGATCCGACAGCAGCACCGAGTTACACACAGCTCAAACGTTGTGCCTGCACACTGTGTGCTGTCAGCATCGACGCGATCCGTACTCTGCAGCGAACTACATCCATTGTCTCAGCAGTCGGTCTCGCTCGCCAGTGGTTGTCGTTTGTTTCGAGCCACAACCGGTGCTGCGTCCGGAGGAAGTGGTCATTTCAGCTCGAGTTTCACGCCCTTTTGCCTTCAGCCCCTCGACGATACATTGGACATTTCAAATGTCGACCGAAGACCTGTCAGTGCTCGAAGGAGCCCATTGTCCTGCCCCGGGGATGCTTCTGCCCATCGCAACATCGATAGCTTCGCTGATCGGGTGTTTTTACGTCGTCGGCACTTATTTGCGCGTCTTGGCACTACGGCAACACCCCGCGGGAATCATGTTTGGCATGAGCCTGTATGGAGCGATGTACCAGTTTCTGTATCTACTGGATCAAGCCTCAACGTCCGTGCGGTGCGCAGATATCGGCATCATTGTCGACTTCTTTCTCACGGGGCAAGAGACGTACATGCTGATCTTTGCCATTGACTTGCTCCTCGTGCTGAAGAACCCGTTCTCGGCTTCGAAAGGACAGATGACAAAGTACCACATCTTTGGTGGTCTGTGGAGTTTACTGTGCGCTGTGGTCTCGCACTTTGACACGCGGTACGCTCTTTTTGGCTTCTGTTGGCTCCGATCAAGCTGTGATGTCCTCACGCGTGCCCATGACGAAGAAAGTCACGCACACGGCTCGGACAGCCCCATCGCATCGGGCGTTTTCTTTGCCATGTACATTACAGTCGTGTACTGCACGTCGCTGATTGCAATTGTTCGCACATGGAACACATTTGTCAAAGGCCTTCCGGACACGTTTCTTACTCGAAAGCGCATCCAGCGTCATCTAAAGTACTATGTGGGTTGCTATTTCGGATACTGGACGTTGGTGCTGGCATGCTTTACTCTGTTCAACGTACTGCCGCATTCGACTGGAAGTGGAGGAAGTTTACGTTGTCGAATGTGGCACATCTTGTCCTGCTTGTTGCTTGCCAAGGGATTGGTGCATGCACTGATATGGACACGGACATCGAACATCTTGAGGATCATTCAGCAGCTTCGGACCGATGGGACAGACGAGTGTCCAGCACGAGACGACGGCTGGGACGACAACATTAATTGGGCCCTTCGGTTGGAGATTCTTACAAATACTACCAAGGGAATCTCTCAGAGCGTGGATCGAGCTGAAGAACAAGCGCGAGCATCTGTCGAGTCGTCTAGTCAATTGGCGTCTGCGATACCTGGTTCATCGCTTGAAGAGGGATCGATTGGCCGCTCGGTCGACTATTGCGATCGAAAGGAGAGCTACACACAGATCGAGGAATTGATACTCGAAAACCGCAACGACAATCGAGCACATGGACCACGAACTGAAGGTGTGGTATTCAAGGACTTTGCACCTCACGTCTTTCGTCGTCTTCGAGAGGAAGCAAAGGTCTCGAGCGAAAGCTATCGCCATTCATTACAGCAGACCACGAAAGAGCGCGTAAGTGAGGGCAAGAGTGGCGCTTTCTTCTACTTCACTGAAGACCGCAAGTACGTTGTCAAGACGCTCACGGACGAGGAGCTCAATTTTCTGCTCAGTATCCTGCCGCACTATTACACCTTCATGAAGAAATATCCGGACACGTTCGTCACGCGCTTCTTTGGCTGTCATGGGCTCACGATGTATGGCAAGACGGTCTTTTTCGTGGTCATGCAGAGCGTCTTCGCCTCGTCCCTTCCAATCCACGAGCGTTTTGACCTAAAAGGTTCGTGGGTCGGTCGGCTCGAGGGTCGTAAGCCAACGGGTACAATTGCTGCCTGCAAATTCTGCAATGCCGATTTCACGGTTGGCGGCAGTTATGACCAGCGCTGCAATGTGCGCAGAGAAGGCAATATGAATCACCAGTATGATCAAGTCGGCAAGGATCTCAATTGGAATCGTCACATGGCACTGCCATACGTAACAGCACAAGCAGTTGCAGTGCAGTTGACGACCGATTCTGAATTCCTCTGCAGTATCAACTGCATCGACTACAGTTTGCTCGTCGGAATCCATCACCGCAGCTTCTACGTCTCGCACTACTCCTCTGCTGACAGTGCTGGCTCGTCAATGCTAGACCGGCACAATAGTTGCTACAGCGTGAGCAGTCAGTCTCAGACTTTCGACCACAAAGGTCGAAGCAACAGCAGCGACTCTTGCAGCTCAAGTCACGTCCACAACAGCAGTACTAGCGCCGGAAAGCAGAAACGTCGAGGTTACGATTGCACTTCCAGTCCCAATGAGACAAAGAAGCCTCTTCAGCAATTTACAAACGGAGGTATGAGCGTGGACGAGGTTCATGGACCAGGTCTGTACTACCTTGGACTCATCGACATTCTCCAGCAATGGAACTTTCGCAAGCGTGTCGAGCGCTTTATCCGTGTATACATACTGCTGCAAGATCGACTTGGCATCTCCGTGGCAAATCCACGACAGTACGCGGACCGGTTCCAGCAACGCGTGATAAAGGAGCTTATCTACGATGCTGCTGCCTTGACCACACGCAACCATCAAGAGAGTGTTTCATTCACGCAACTACAGCTCCAGAACCAGCGCAATGCCTTGCTAGTGGAATCCAACCGTACGCTGAGCACTCTGATTGCTTCATTGGACGGAAGTACATCGACGTTGACCAGCCGACCTCCGACGCAGATCGATTCGTTTGCCAACATGATGCTATCGCCATGTGCAAACGTCAGCTTGAAAGTCGAGAATTCTCCCTCGACACCGCCGTATGCAGCCACAATGTCAATGAAGACAAAAGGTGCGACCCGCGGTATGTCAGCACGACATCCTTCATTTTGTTCGTGTAACCGGGGTAGCTGCTGCAGCTCTGGTGGCATTGGACGACTGTCGGGTGGTCTGATGATGGAGATTCCAGGCATTGGAGCCAACATGTCGTTAGTGTACCCGAACGCGTTCGATGCGCAGCCGCCACATCGTCGTCGACCGCTAGCCCCACTGACACCTTCCCCACGAGCTTCGTGCGTACGTCAAAGCGATTCAGACTTCGCCAAGAAGAACTATCAGCAGCCAAACAGCTTGAGCAGCTCGAAAGAGGTGCCCTACGTTGGACGACGACAAGGCAGCAGTGTGCACATTGGCAAAAGCGCTGCGACTGTGGTGCTTTTCGAAAAAGAGGCGCTGCAAAAACGACCGAGCGTATCCGACTACCACATCATGTGTCCATCAGTGTTTCCTGACAAGGACCCTGCCAACGCTGCCATAGTTTACGTGTAAGAGTGTGTATCGATGACTACTAATGTGTAGAATAATCCTGTGCGTAACAAACGTTTGTGTGTACAATGCCGAGATAGATGCCGACGGTATAGCTGTATCGTCATCGATGACGACAAGTTCGACATACTTTTTCTTTCTTGGATGAAAACCTAAGGGAAGAGCAACACTGCTGTGTTTGTTGCTTACCCCTGCATTACAATGCGGTGATTTGGTAGCTGTTCAGAGGATCCCGTAGACTACGTGCGCAGTGTGTCGTGTAATCTGAACAAAACGTTCTTCGCTTCTCCCATTAGCTCGTGCTTGCCTTATTCTTCGGACACACTCGACCGACTAATAATCATTATGTGCAGAAGACGTGAGACTTTCATGAGTAAGTCAGCGACCTGTTCTGAAAAGGGGGATCAGGCAAAGCAATTGTTCCGAAGGATCGAAGTGTGTTTTGCGCGCAAGGCGGTCATGGCATACCACGTTTTTCTTGTAGCGCCAATGAAAGCATTCAGTTGAGATTCTACGTACGCTGGATACGAAAATGGTCGTCGCGAGTTCATCCGCACTTGCTCGCAGAGTTTCATCCTGCTCGATAAACGGCATGAGTGGCAGCTTTTGTCTTCACCTATCCAATTGAGGTTTACTTTTGCACACCTCCATTACATTTAGGAGGTGACCGCCTCCTGATGACAGCATGATGCAACGTTAATGGCCGTGACAGCAATTTCAAGGCCGTCGTCAAAATCGCCTCGATGTCGGTCTTGTTGTAGCTGATGTAGCGACAGGAGCCATTCAGTTGGAAGACACCGACTGAAGCTATCCGTGGCCATTTTTGTTCTTGATTGCACTAAACTAGCGACTTCTTAACGCACCTCGCATAAGATGTTCGTGGACAACGTGGGATCGATCTTGCATGCTCGCCCAATACGGCGTCTGGGTATCTTCTTGATCGACCGTTGGCGTCGCTGCCGTTAAATCAAGGATTTCAACAGCATTGCAAGGATCCTAACTCAGCAAAGAGCGAATCGCCTGGGCGCACGATGGGCTGATGGACTTGCTGGGAGATATCGGCTACTGCTCGAGTGAAATCCTGAAAAAGCAAATAGTGGGGACGACGCAGTCACAGATTATAAAGTCGAGCGGATGGCTGCCCAAGGAAGCTTGCTAAAAACAGTAACAATCGCAAAGAGTCGTCGCATCGTGGCTACACTTGGTCACGTATACCGTGATACAAGCCGCGAAGTCGATGCCTTTGCAAACTCAGTTGTCAAAAACAACTATTATAGAACTCAGCAAGGAGAACATTGCCGAGGTGCTCCTTTCAGATCGCGTTTCTGTGGCATAGACTATATCGGAGAAGTAGGGATCCAAATCTTTCCATTGTTTGCGACAACGGCTTGTAGTTGGTGGTGCATGAACGCTTCTTTTGGCCAAAAGTGATGTAACATGCATAGCACTGTGTTAGCACATGTGAGATGCGACGGTAGACAAGACACACGCCAAATATCGGAAGTTTTTCGCCCGCTAGCCATATCGACGAGCACATGGACTAATTATCGTATCGATTTCTCGTTGACACTGCCTCTTACTGCCGGGGGTGCTAGTATGCAATTGTGAGTTTTGCTACATTTATTTTGAAGCGAGCTGAGTGCAAAGAACGAAGACAGCATGCACATTGACAGATGATCAACACGTTCGTGTGATACTGGACCACCATTTCACGGTCCACCTTACACCAATGTTATCGGTGGTGACAGACACCACATGAACCCGTCTAAATAGCTACAAATATTGCAGCACGCTTGAGACCCGACACACCGCATTCGTTGTCCTATCTTCGTCATACGAACGAACAAATTGGACGGGTTGATTTAGTAGAGTTTCGCTTTGACGACTTTCGAGATCAGAATGGAGAGTCTACGTTTACAGTAAAGAGTGACTGTGCTCTACGTAAATTGTCCACGACCGAAGCATCCATTCGAAACAACGCGGCCTCTATGCTAGTCAACGTGGACACCAATCTGGAAGTCAACGTAATACAAAGTTTCAACACAACATTTGACTTCGACAAGAAGCTTTGCTCGAACTCATACAAGAGTGAACATAAAAAGAGGAGGAAATCCTAAGTACGAAAAGGACAAAATCTTATCTTGATTGAGCTTTGGAGTCTACGATAAGGTGCACTTGAGTGGACACGTACTGATCCTCTTCACAAAGAATAGTCGTTGTCAATAAATTACTCGCCATGGTTGACTGATGTAGTTCCCAGTGTTGATATTTGCTTCGAATATCTGTAACGGAAACGTGCGAAACACCGAATGCAGACTGAGTTTTCTGTATCCAGGGAATGTAGTCTGCATTCGGTGTTTCGCAAGTCGTTGATGAAGGCATATCGCACACAAGGCGGCAACTGATCAGGACATGGGGACAAGCAGATGCGCTATCAGTTGCCGTCGTGAGCTCAAACGTACATGCTAAGAAGAGAAAGCATAAACGAAGGGAGTCAAATTTGACGCTTCAACACAACGACCGATGGTAGGTCAGACGCACCCTTGCTGAATCAGAGAATGAAAGAAAAACGTTACAATCAAACTGCAAGTAGTTGGTCGTCAGGAAGAGTGAGAAGGAGTTCTAGGAGGAGATACTTTTGGCAAGAAGGGCTGATGTCGTAAGCATGTAATCAGAAAAGGTTAAGAAAGACCAGCTATAATTTATCTGCATTAACTTTTCAAATAGCGCATTCTTTGTGCTCGCTTTGTACAAAATATGCAGCACTGACACTTTGATGACTTTCAGCAAAAATGACGAACAGCAGAAAAGACGTCACCTGAAATTTACGGGAATCTTGTGACTTATACTATCAAATTTAGACGCACCTTATATTTTGCTGATGTCGAAAATAGACTCGAATGCTCGGACGTATCGATTTTTAATGAAACATTGCGATACTAGTAGTGCGTTGTTTTCGCGAGAGCGATCTCCATTCATTGAAAATCATGTGGCGGAATAATCGTCACGCTTCTTGTGCAAACCTTGTGAATATTTCAATTGGCCACCAAATGGTGTGAGTTTACTATTCGATCCAACTTTCGTTGTATAATTTAGGTACTGTCAATAAAGATAGGAATGTATTGCACGAGATGAAACATGTAGAGAGGCTATCAGATGTTGCTAGAATGTACGCGCGACAACATTGTTAGGCAGCGAAACAGTCACATTTTGCAATTGTGCTTACAAGTGACAACATCACTATTACCATCTCTATCGTCCGCCATCGACAACGTTCTCGGTGCTGTCATTGTGACGTTCTGCGTATGGCTACAGAAATGTTCGTCAATTGTAGCATAATCAACTGCTGGTTCAGGTGGATTTGATGTATCTACGCGCACTATCGAAACGAGCCGTGTTTATTGTTTTGATGATCGGTGACACGGCGACATCTTGTTGCTTAGGCGTCCATATTCGTTGCCTGCCACTCACTTTTCGGTTTTTAAGGTGGCCATTGTCGCTGTTCTATAACGCAGTCAACGCCATTTGCAACGGCCAGGTGGCGGGTTATTGGAAGTGATTCTGTCTGCGGTGAAATGTTGCTCGACATTATAGACGACCGAACTTGAAGGTATTACGATGTAATGAAGTATAGCGAGGGAGTTATGTTCGAAAAAGCGTTAGCGATTGTTATGATGTATTGGGAGATTGATAACATATAATGTATGGGCCTCTTATTTCGGAATGATTAATGACTAGTCATTTGTTATATGTGCCTAGTTCTTAGGCAATACTATATGGGTGTAATTTTAATGCTAAAACTGTAGAAATGATATATATTTTTCGTCATGAACGCACGATTGGCGATACCGTATGGTGTGAGACACAGTGAATGAAGTGAAGAATCGCTTCGACTTTTATATGAGCGAGTGAAAATAGTCATACGTTATGCGTGGAACGAGGGTGGTCACGTGAGAGCATGGCGCCCATAGGGAAGAATATTGCGAGGAAGCACAGTGGTGCTTACTTTATCACGATAATTTACACATGAGTTTTCCTTGTTGGTGAATGCGTGTTCAGCTCGAAGGATCTCTAGCAACTCTTGCTAGACGTTCTTCATCGCTCAAATGAAAACTATTGTAGATTTAATGGAACATACCGCGAAATTTTTCAACTTTGAAGTCGAAAAAACGATTGAAATTGACGAACTATGTATTATCAATGAGATTAAGAACTCGAGAAGATATGCAGTACTAACGTGGTGCAACTTCTTTGATGCCATGAGTATCACGCTTACTTTTGAAAGCGCACAATAGGATATTTACAGCTATCACGCTGCCTAGCTCCTCTGCCTAGTGTACATTATGTGGCTAGAGAACCATTGGATGCGCCCGAAACAATAAAATTTCGACAATCCACGACCACGACGATTTTATAAGTCATCTCGTGTTCGACATTAACATTGACTTCTGAACAGACCTTAGTGCTCCGACCGCATAAAACTTGAGCATCGCATTGAACAATATTTTAAGCTTATGAACACGCTAACAATAATTGATACCTGTTAAGATCATTATCGTGCGAGCATTAGCTTCCTTGAAGATGAATCCGTTTAAAATATTATGTTTCAGTAAAGAATGTTGAAGAAGAAGCGGTAGCCACAACGTCACATGAAGTTATCACTACAATAAGTGAAGATTATTTCGCGCCCGTCAAAGGTAAATACTTGATCGTCAAACGAGGTTTTTGTAGTCAAATCTCCTTCGATAATATGCTCGATGTCGGAGCCACATGCAACGTGGTGAAGACAGAGTTGCTGCAACATGTCATTACGGAAGAGAATCCTCAATTCTTACCTTTTAACGGCACCAACAAAATCAAGTAAAAGGTAAAAAAAGACTAACAACGAGCTGTGGAAGATGTTGAAGAAAGAGATGATACTGTGCTCATATTATCGCAGAGGTTCAAAGAAAGTATTTGATTATTTGCTAAATTGGTATTGGACGCTAACGAGATTACAGAGGTCCTGCAATGCCGGTACTTCAAGCGCGGAATGCGAAGATATGGCAAGAAAAGTTGATGCAGCAAGCGTCGTGTATGACCGTTTTAAAAAATGGTGCTTTACGTGACACGGATAGAGTATCCGAGCGACAGATGACCGTTCGCGACAAAAAACAAGCAATAACTAGAACGAAAACTCACAGAGAAAAAACGTGCGCGACAAAGACGGACAGCGGGAAGGACAGCAGAACCGGCTTGAAGAGACCAAGGTAAACATAAAAGGCCGAGGAGACTACCACCACAAGCGAGATGCTTGACGGTTCTTCCACAAGATGGCTTCGCATAATACTAGCTACTGCTACACGCTAAACGAGATACTACCGGAAGGAAAAAAACAAAGCCCCGCCGGAAATTATCGCAAAGCAACGTCGAAGTACCCGCGCATTTCAAGAGCAAATGAGTCCGACTTTAAATCGGGGTCAGAGTCGGATGCGACAGGGGAAGAGCAAGATCTTAAAGTTCTTGGGTTGGTATGAAAAGATAATTTCTTCACTAGTGCACCATTGCGAATTTTGGTCACGCTCTACGTAAATAAGAGTCGATTGAAGCTCTGCTCAACATTATTGTCTCAAAGAGCGTTGTAAATGGTGAGCCACTTTCTATAATCGTGCAGCAGAGCCGACAGCATGTTACCGCATCCCCAGCTGTCTTCGAGACTATGCGTGGCGCGATATCGAGAAAAGTACCGGTGGTGACACGGTTCTTTTCACACGGCTAAAGCCATAGACAATCATCACACATCATTTCAAATTGATAGAATCCATAAGCAATAACATGTTCATCGGCAGATACGTCATGAACGATCTAGGACTGATTCGAACTGCAAAGACCGCTTGGTGCAATGGGACGATTGTTTGCTTTGACATATGACAAGACAAGATAAGACGAGAAGACCCATTACAGACCAAGAAAACGCGTAGTTTCCCGAAGAAATAAAGGAAGCACCCACTGGCAGTACCGCCAGAGGCACTCCGTCCGCACCATACTGCCTATATTGGGGGGAAGAATTACTTAACATTACTGGTCGAGTACATACCGTTTTTACGACGGGCACCTTGGACTAATATGTTTTCCCGATTATGAGCTGTCTAATCGATCGTATTACCGACCACTGCATGCGAAGGCCTACCAAATATCGCGCGCCGCCAGGAAAGCAGATCTGAGGAGACAATACAGTGGCTTCATAGTGTTGAATTATTAGTGCGAGCTTATGACACCGAGATGGCATCATTCGCAATGTTCGTCATCAAGCCCGATAGATCACTGCGCATTTATCAGCGACTATCGTGGTCGAAACAAATACCTTCGCTGGATTTTGTACTATGTACCACGCATTCGATATAAGGTGCTGCAAGCATTGCTTATGATGGGTATCACTTTTCGAACATTCCTGTCATTGCTCGGCCAATTTGTAATTCCACTGACGTACTACTAGATAAACCTTACTTTTTGTCGATGATCCAATAATCAACTGGCGCACGCAATACATATCATTTGAGATGGTGAATACCCCCAGGATAAAGCGCTAAACCGATTTAATATCATTGTAGCGGATCTAGCAAATCTCCTATCCTGAGAAAGGCTTTCTGCTCGGCAATCAATGAAGTTCTTTACAAGAGGTCTACTCTACAAGTCAAAGAACTTTCAGCTATAGGTCCTTGTTCAAGGTACATATACGATTCAGTAAATGCACAGTGTGCTAACGAGCCTGTGTCTTAACAAGACTCTTACGACCTGATACGACTTAGGAAGGCACGTGTCTTATAAAAATTGATAGGGGAACTGAAGTTTTTGTGTTGTTATAGAAAAGAATACCTCAGACTAAATGTACTTAATCTAGACGCTAATGTTCTGGTTGGTACCTTTCAAAAGATCTCGTATGTTGGTGGCTGACACACTTCAGCCCTCAACAACTGATACAGTGTATGAATACCATTCAATGACATCTCATCCCTAATGTAAACCACACATGTAATGTCGGTCACCAACCGAGGTGTAACTCTGTTACAGAATATATGCTTGATCTCGGCCGCGCGTCTCACCGACTGCAATAGGATTCAAACTCATGGAACTAGAATATCTAAGATGTTTTGCTGGGAATGGTTTTAGTCGCATGCGGCACTGATCGATATACTAGACATGGTGTTTGTCGAATGCGGAGATGATCGATGTGTATGCAAGTTCACAATATGGTGGCACCTGATCGTGTAATTTACCCCTACTTTACTGAGTAGGTGCTGCATGTAGAGAGAATGGCCACAGTAGCCAAAATCGACGACTTATACTTTCGCAATTTCATACCAAAAATGGCCAGGAATAAAGTCTTGCTTGGTAAAGAAATAACGTACGACTGCAAGAAGTATAGATATTAATTCGCAGCCATACTTGTTGAAGATCGGGGTGGAGAGTCACGATGTGCGGCACGACATGTCAGATCAAGTTGGTGTCGGCGACTGTTTGCATGTGTATAAGAGAACAGTCGATAGATGAAGGGGCTGCAAAGATGGGTGAATAAGCTTGCAGTTGCCAACAGACAGGAAGCGCGTCGCCGGAGTGGTGGCGAATGGTAGCGCAGCGACAGTAAGTCGACCTAGTAAGAGCGGCATATACAGAGACATAGTGTGCGAGATAGCGAGCATAATAGCTAGGACATAACGGCACAGTTTGTATATTAGTTTCCTTTCTAGCTCATCAAGTGCAAGCTCAACATTGGCTAGCAGGTTATGAGCCCAAACCCAATGGCTCCTCCGACTGATGAAATGACGACTTCTGCACCTGCAGACCACGGCCACGAAATGGCCGCCGTTGTTAGAGATACCCAAGCCCACAAAAGAGGTGCGGGGACCGACAAAAGGATCCTCACAATGCTGACTGCACTCACGGATCGCATGCAAGCGCTCGAGGCGTCGCAGATGCAGATCGAAGAGGAAAAGCGACTGCGAGGCGCGATCGGCAGTGTCTTTTTTGCATCAGAGCTGGGACGCGGCATGGGCGGTGCGACTCTACATCGTGACGCGCTAGTAAATGATGCTCCGAGGCAGCCGCGTGGACGTGTTCGCGTAACGCAACCAGGTGACTCGCTATTCCAGCAGTTCATTCCACAGTATGTCGGTCCGCGACATCCAGCGGGCGCTGCTCGACCACAGGCGCCGCGCTATGCGCCAGTGTCGCCTCCAGATTTTGAAGACGCTCATGCGCCTGTGCCACCAACGCAGCAGGCACCGACGAAAGAGTTGCCGTTGAGTTTCCCGGAAGCACGCCAACTTAAGCTTGCTCTTCGCAAGTTTGATGGTACAGAAATGTACCAGGGACTCGGATCGGGTTTTGCTGACTGGGGTCGCACGTTCTTGCGCCAAGTCAGTATGGCGCAGCAGGCCTGAAGATTTGCATGGGCTGAAGATGTCAAGGTCGACTTACTGGGACACTAACTAAGTTGGTTAGCAGAGCGGTACTACCAAAAACAAGAGGACGTTTGGTGGCTCGAAGAAGCCTCTCTCGATCACGCTATGGGCCGGTTGCTACACACATTCAAGACTACAATCACGGCGTCGCAAAGCATGAAGCTTTTCACTGCAAGAAGGTATCTAAAGAGATCATGGCCTGAACACTACCTGTATACAGTTTTTGTTGTATGCGATGCCTGCTGTGGATGTGCAAAAGCAAAGTTCTCAACAACATTGTCCACTATGCGTCGGCTGATCTTACAACAGTTTTGATGGCCAAGTACAACAATGACCGACACGATCATTTGCGCCAAGCTGAAGATCTTGCGCATTTTGCACAGTCTGTTGAGCTCGAGAACAAGACCGGAAGGACGTTGGGAAGCGAGTTGGTCGCCACTGTCACTGACGAAAACGTCGCAAGGAGGCACGTTCATGCTACAACTGTGGCAAACAAGGTCATTTGTAGATTGACTGCAGGTGAAAAGGGGACGTCAACAAGAGCGTCAAGAACGACGGCGAGGTTGTTCTTGCTGTTAATGACGACAGCGACAATGTGAGCGAAGACTGGATACTCGACAGCTGTGCCAGTCGACACCTGGTGAACGACGATCGCCTGCTGATCGACGCAGAGATTTGCAACGATGTAGTCTCGCTATCTGATAACGAGAAGGTCGGTCTGTCCAAGGTCGGTAGTGTGAGAATGTCCGTCGTTGCCAATGGACAAGAAAAAACAGTTCAACTCATGGACGTCTACTATTCACCGAATCTGGCCCGCAACATCATCAACTATGACAAGCTTGATCAAAAGGGATACAGTCTTAAGTATTCTAATGGCAAGCGATCAGTAGCTCGACGGAGTGATGGCCAAGTCGCGTTCGACGTGACGATGGAGAATAGTGTGCTAATTGTCGAGACAGTGATAAAGAGTGTACGCCAAAAGGAGACAGCGAATGTTATAATGGCTGCCATTCACGAGAAGGCAGCAGACGAAATGACTTCGGCGACGCATCGTGGCTCGCTGCTATACTTTCATCAACGTCTGGGGCATCTGTCGTACGATGCAATTGAGAAGATCGCAAGAAATCCAAGCTCGGGTATCGAGCTGACGGACCACAAACGGATGACATGCATCACGTGCGCGCAATCCAAGCAGACAAAAAACAAGCAGAACCAGAAAGACTCTGGACAGAACGCCCCGATCGACTGCATTGGCGGTGTCATCTGCTCGGACCTAAAAGGTCCACTAACGCCTGCGGATCGACTCGGAAACCGATATCTGATCGACTTTATCGATTACAAGACCAACTACTGTCGAGTTTTCTTAGCTCAAACCAAGGACGCTGCGGCAAAGAAGTTCGAACACTTCTTGGTGCTCTTTGAGCGACGTTTTGAGTGCAGAATCGCGGTTCTCAGAACAGATGGCGGTGGAGAATACCAGAATGTTGATCTGTTCTGCAAATCGACAGGCGTTGCAAGACAAGTGAGTGAAGCGCGAAATCAAGCGTCGAATGGGAAAGCCTAAAGAATGCACAGGACCGTTCTAAACATGACACGAGCGATGATCTTCGCGTCTGGATTGCCCCTTACGTTCTGGGGTGATGCCGCTGAATACTCCACGTATATTATGAACAGGAGCCCCACGAATTTGAATCCTAAGAGAGCGTCGCCGCTTGAAGTTCTGACGAATAAATCGCCGGATTTGCGCAACATCGTCGTGTTTGGCTCCCACTGTACCGTCTACCGTGATCCAAGCAAGAACACGTTCGCGCGCCGCGCTCAAGTGGGCACGATCGTTGGATGTAGTGACGAAACCAAGGGTTTCAGAGTATTCATCAGGAAAGAAAACAAGGTCATCACGACGCAGCATGTCAAGAATATTGAAACGTTGTCTGAAGCCCAGAACAGGCAGCTGCAACTAGCCCTTGATGACGATGGTCGGGCAGATTCAGACGAAGGCACTGAGACACCTGTGAGACAGAGCAGTAGTATTACTGCGAGCGAGAAGCCCAAGAAGAAGAAACAGTGGACTCGCCAACCGCACGTGACAAGAGGTGCGGCAAAGAAAGCAGCTGCAACCAACAAGAAGTAGCTGTCAGCGCAGGTGTCGTCAATCACGTGTTCGAAAGATATCCTCACAACTATGGCGAAACAATAAAGAGCGAGAAAAGAAACGAGTGGCAAAAGGCAATGCGTGAGGATCTGGACGCGCTCGAAAGAAACTAAGTGTGGCGTTTGGCGCTCCGATCAAGCAACAGCAACGTTCTCCACAGTAAATGGGTCTTTAAGACCAAGACGACTGCCGATGGAGATTTATAAAGGCACAAAGCGCGCCTCGTTGCCTGCGGAAATGAACAAGTTTTTGGCGTGGACTACGCGCTAACTTTCGCTGCCGTCCTGGACATGACTACAGTGAAAGTAATCTTGGCGTTAGCTTCTACATGGGGCGTCCCGACTAAGCACGGAGACGTCTCCAATGCTTACGTAAAAGCAAAGAAGGAACAGCATCTCGAGATTCTGATGCACGTCCCCAAGGGCATGACGATTGATACAAGAAAGTTAAAAGAATTGGGGGCAACGAAGATTGAAGATGTTGTGCTTGAACTGAAGAAAAGTCTTTATGGTTTATAGCAAGCAGGGCGATTGTGGAGCCAATTGCTTAACAATCGGCTATTGGAAGTCGGATTTACTCGCTGCATCAGCGACCTCTGCTTGTATTACAAGCGCGACATCGATGGAGTCGTCATCGTCGGAGTCTACGTAGACGATTTGCTGGTGACTGGAACATCCGCTGTTGCAGTTGACGGTTTTTTTGCGAGCCTCGAAAGTCTTTCGATTAAAGATCTTGGACCAGTGTCGAAGTTTTTGGGGATGCGCGTGACGCACAACGAAGATCGTGGATATTTTCTTGACCAGGAGGAGACGATTGTCGACTTGCTGCGTGACCACGGCATGACCGATGCCAACTCAAGTCGTGCGCCTATCGGGACAGACGTTTATGAAGTTCAATGTGCAGACAGCGGACTACTTGCAGACACGGGTGCTCCAGGTCAACCTAGCGTTCGTGTTTTCAGTCTATTGTCGGATCGTTGCTCTGGGTAGCGAGGTGCACACGACCCGACACTGCATTTGCGGTGCATAAGGCAACCAGACAAACACACGAGCCACGGATCCATGACTGGAAATTGGCTAAGCGCATCGTGCGCTGTTTGAGTGGTACGCGTGGATTTAAGATCAGCATGAATCCAGCAGTCGAAGAAACTGCACAACCTGTTCTAATGAACTACAGTGACGCATAATACGCAGCCGACAAGGCAGACAGAAATTGTTTAACCGGTAGCGTCGTCATGCTAAATGGAATGATAATCATCTGGTGCTCGAAAAAGCAAGGAGTTGTGGCGCTCTCGACAATGGAGTCAGAATTTGTGGCAGCGTCTGAAGCTGGACGAGAGCTACTTGGAGTGAGAGAGACGCTGAGTGAAATTGGTGAGTTGCCTGCACTACCGATGAAAATGCTCATCGACAACCAGGCAGCGATACGGCGGATTGAAGCAGAAGCGCCGTCTAATAAAGCCAAGCACATTGATGTGAGAGTCAAAACTTGTGCGACTACGCTCGTCGAGGCATTGTGGTGCCAGAATATGTGCCGAGCGACCTGATGCTTGCGGACGGACTCACCAAAGCGCTCGATGCAGTCAAGACGGTCAAGTTGCGATCACTGCTACAAATCGTGTAAGCGCAGTGCAAGTCGCCGACAAGGAGGAGTGTTGAAGATCGGGATGAAGAGTCACGATGTGCGGCACGACATGTCAGATCAAGTTGGTGTCGGCGACTGTTTGCATGTTTATAAGAGAACAGTCGACAGATGAAGGGGCTGCAAAGATGGGTGAATAAGCTTGCAGTTGCCAACGGACAGGAAGCGCGTCGCCGGAGTGGTGGCGAATGGTAGCGCAGCGACAGTAAGTCGACCTAGTAAGAGCGGCATATACAGAGACATAGTGTGCGAGATAGCGAGCATAATAGCTAGGACATAACGGCACAGTTTGTATATTAGTTTCCTTTCTAGCTCATCAAGTGCAAGCTCAACATTGGCTAACAATACTATCATGAGGAAACCGCATATGTATCCAGAAGACCTCCACAAGCTCAAATAGCCACCTATTAACGTAAATTGCAAGTCAAGGAACTTACAGCTCCAGCTCCTTGTTCAAGGTACATATACGATTCAGTAAATGCACAGTGTGCTAACGAGCCTGTGTCTTAACAAGACTCTTACGACCTGATACGACTTAGGAAGGCACGTGTCTTATAAAAATTGATAGGGGAACTGAAGTTTTTGTGTTGTTATAGAAAAGAATACCTCAGACTAAATGTACTTAATCTAGACGCTAATGTTCTGGTTGGTACCTTTCAAAAGATCTCGTATGTTGGTGGCTGACACACTTCAGCCCTCAACAACTGAACAGTGTATGAATACCATTCAATGACATTTCATCCCTAATGTAAACCACACATGTAATGTCGGTCACCAACCGAGGTGTAACTCTGTTACAGAATATATGCTTGATCTCGGCCGCGCGTCTCACCGACTGCAATAGGATTCAAACTCATGGAACTAGAATATCTAAGATGTTTTGCTGGGAATGGTTTTAGTCGCATGCGGCACTGATCGATATAATATACATGGTGTTTGTCGAATGCGGAGATGACGATCATAAAACCGATATAGAAAATGTCATCAGTCGTGCACCAACTCAGTAAGTGTCAGAATGAACAATGGTCATCGTGAAGACTACGGGTATAATTTTAGGGTTCCTGCGGGCCCGTTGTACGATTTGATGAAAATTCTGGATCGCAGCACTGAAAGACAATGATCAGACTGCTGCGATGCAATTACTTGAAAAATCAATTTTGGGGCGCAATTCGGTAAGTGCACGCTGTGACATCAGTAAATGAATTCATATAGCGACGTCAATGTGGAAAGAAACTTAGATCACTTTCGATCGATGTCTGGTGTCCTACTGAATCTGAAGTAATGCCGTGACGTATAAATGATGTATGTACGCAAGTGTAATTACAGACGCATCGTAGCGTTGAGCTCATCGAATTCTAAATACATGGCTTATAACATGTTCATCCAAAGAGAATCTGTGTGCGTGAACAATAATGGACGAACTTCGATGATGCAAGGAACATAAGTATACGTTTTTATAGTAGGATAATCAAAGGGACACTGTGCTAGCGACGAATTCAGTGTAGCACGAATGGACGGAGCACGTGGACGTGTCCATATACTCTTTATTGTAAGAAGAAGGAACCCAAACGGTTTCGGTGATGGAACATCATCCTGCAGATATTTCTACAAAAGCGATCGGCAACAACTAATGCAAGCACCTTCACTCCATCATGATCATCACGGCAACCTATCCCCTCGAGCACCAACAGCAGATAATGACACTGAAACAAACAATGGTGTTGTTCTATTACACATCTGGCACCGTTTATCACAGCCTAGTGACGATAAAGTGAAGACGTGCAATGGAATATACGGTGTAAGTGAAAATTTAGAACGGCCGCAAATTCAGGCCCGTAATCATTAAAATGTAACGAAAAAATTGGTAGAATATGCGATGTCTACAATTGTATGATGTTTGAAGGGGTGATTATTAAATCATTGCGATTCATTTTCCAGTCAATTCAACACACCTGCGGTTTTCGATGTTGTAACGGGATACTGTGCAGACACAGGCAATATATAAAGCCCTTTACAAAACTTCCTCGCTTCGTCCGTATGACGTTTGTTCGTTTCGTGCATGTTTTTATTACGGGCAAATCGTTTCAAAGAAGAGCCCCACAGATGTGCAATTATAGCTCAGTCATAATGACGTGTTAAGTCAAAATCATGGTCAACATAGCCGTCGTAGGTTTTCTCAATCACTTATTATTTGAATACTTTTATCCGAGCTTTTATTGTCGCAATGCCTGTAAGCTAAAAGTAAGGCATTCTTACAACCCATGTAAAGATAGTGTATAAACTGTAATTATTCCGACACTGATTGGGATATCATTGGCAAGAATAATGAAAATAAAAGACCTGAGTCAAAATCAATACACAACACTCTCCGAAAGCTAATTTAGGACAATTGTATGTTATCGTGGTGTATGTGCACGAATAGGAAGAGTGAGATAAAAAATGATAGACGGATGATTTACCTGTGATGATTGAGCGATCACAACAATATACGTCATCAACGTCAAGAAATAAATAAATGAGACCTATCAGTCGTAAAACATCACATTTCTGTGAACTCACGTCTAATGGTGGAATCACACACTGACGCCTTTTTTCAGGTCATCGGGCGCAGATTACTACTGACTAGAAGAATTACGGTGCATCGACTGAGGACTACTTAAAAGTCACATCGACAAATCTTATAACAGTTCTTTCTTCCAAAGATCGTTAGCACGTCGATCGACGAGACATAACATGGTCCCTGTTAGCGATGATACCCGGATCTTCGTCCTCGAGTCTCTCGCTGTTTCTGTTGATGAGTTTTGGAAGACGAGTCAATTTGGAGCATGTGCTGCCCATAGGACGATAGAGGGCAACCAGGGCGTATATAAACGAGGCGTGCGATTTCTAGTGTGCATGGTACCTAGTGATTGATATAAATTAGTTTGAAAATATACACAGACCTCATATTCCTGGTTACTCAGGGTTTTTTAGTAGGCGTAGACCAACCTAAAAAACCTTATGTCTTGGCGCCAACATTCAAACCTCAACAAGCTATCCCCCTGAAGGTTTGACGGCAGGCACAAATTAGGCCACGCAGTGATTAATCGTCACGTGTGTTTAGGACTTACAATAGTCTGCAACGTATCCTTGAACTTTTTTGCTACATCGCCGAGCCACTTTGACTGAATATCTGCCCTTCTCTTATTTCCCTATGCACAAAAAGTCATTAGACGGGTTTTCATTTGTCTTGCACTCTTAGTCATTCACGCGCTTCTATCAAACTTGAGATTTGTCAACTGAGGCCTCGAACGCCTAGAGATTTACTATCATGAGATACATTGACAGGAGGCTCGCCGACTCCAGTTTCGCAGTGTAATACTTGATGACTCACGGATTCTGACTTCAGGACTAGGCGAATCCAGATTAGCTGACCTGAGATTGGTCAAATCGAAATAGACGACCCAAGATTTGCCGAACTAGGATCGATGTTATCCCGGATAGTCGATAAAAAGCTTGCAAACTTGGAGTTATCGAATCTGGACTCAACGATTAACGAAAAGCTGCCCTGAGGTGTAATGACGGTCAGCCCATTGAGACATCCGAATGAGAAATTCCTACACGATAGATCAATGAGTGAGAAATTACACCATGGACATATGAGTGAAGTAATTATCATTATATACGATTGAGGTCCTCCTTTAAACGATGCGTTTACGTGCTCATGCCTCTTATAAATCTCTTTTTTTGAATTTGAATGGTAACCTAGCATCGATATAAGTCACACGGCACCTAGCATAAAAATCAAACGCTTAATTGTTCGGGCAGCCTATTTTCGTCACTAATCACTTGCAGGTAACAGTGATGTATTCCATCTACACTTAGCAGGTCTGTAGTG